ACTTGGGCACCGCTCCGAGACCAAAACAACGGCAACAAATCGTACTTCTTAGCATTTGGGCACCGCTTCGAGGCCAAAACCACTTGGGCACCGCTCCGAGGCCCATATTCAACGGCAACAAATCGGTTTTTTAGGGTGAGCGGGTTTAGGGTTTCGGGGTTGAATCCCCAAACCCCATAAATCCTTCAACCCTAAACCCCTCAACCCTGAATCCCGGACCCCCCAAACCCTAAACCCCAAAGCCCAACACCAAGCCCCCTACACACCAAATCCTTAAACCCCAAACCCTCTAATCCCCAAACCCCACAAATCCTTAAACCCTAAACCCCTCAACCCTGAACTCCACACCCCCCAGATCCTAAACCCCAAAGCCCAACACCAAACCCTCTACACCCCAAAACCTTAAACCCCTAACCAACCAAACTTTAAACCCTATAATCCCCAAACCCCACAAACCCTTATCCCCAAACACCAAGCCCCCTACCCTCCAAATCCCTAAATCCTAAACAGAAATAGTCACTATGTAGTAATAGTGAGAATAATAGTATTAATAGTCGTACTACTCCTTCTACTACTACTACTACTGCTACTACTAATATTCACCGTATGATTATTACTAGTTAAAGTAGCAGTAATACTAGTCATAGATAATAATCATAGTGCGGTTGTACTAGCATTATTAATAATAATAATAATAGCAATAGTACGAATAGCACTGCTAGTAGTATAGCAATACTATGAATGTTAGTCATAGTAGGACTAGTAATAGTGGTAATAGTAGTAAGAGTCGTGATAGTAATAATGCTAAGACAAGTACTAACAGTCATAGTACTAGGCCTAACCAAGCCCAAACCTATCCAATAGCGCCTAGGGTTTGGGTTAGAATCCACTACAACTGATGCGCATGATGGCCCCCCGTCCCAGCCCACACCACCTCACCCACCCCACCCACCACCACCACCCCACCACCCTTGAAGGGTGTGGGAGTTTAGGGGTTAAGGGTTCAGGGTTTAGCGGGTTAGGGTTTAGGCGTTTAGGGTTCAGGTTTAAGGATTTGGGGTGTAGGGGGTGTGGCGGATTAGGTAGGGGTTTAGGGTTTTGGTTGGTTTCAGGGTTTTAGGATTCGGGGTGCAGGGGGTTGGGGGGTTGGTGGATCAGGGGTTGGGGGGGTTTGGGGTTTCAAGTTTATACGGTACAGGGTTTTGAGGTTTTTACGATGCAGGAGTTCAGGGGTTTGGGATTTCAGTGGCTGAAATTTTAGGGGTATAGGGGTCGGGGCAGCTTTTAGCACTTCGGATTGGATTTGGGGTGCCTAGCGCCTAGTATTCTAGAGTGATTTGGCACATTTTTTAATTTTTTTAAAAAAAATTCCTTATTTTTTTACAAAAATTTAAAGATTTTTCTCTATTTTGCAGAGGTGACCGTGCAAGTTTGTTGCAAGTTTGTTGCAAACTTGCAACAAACTTGCAATCACGATTGCAAGTTTGTTGCAAGTTTGTTGCAAGTTTGCAACAAACTTGCAATGAAACTTGCAACAAACTTGCAATCGTGATTGCAAGTTTGTTGCAAGTTTGCAACAAACTTGCAACAAACTTGCAATCACATTGCAAGTTTCAGCCAAGCTTGCAACAAACTTGCAATCACATTGCAAGTTTGTTGCAAGTTTGTTGCAAACTTGCAACAAACTTGCAATCACGATTGCAAGTTTGTTGCAAGTTTCATTGCAAGTTTGTTGCAAACTTGCAACAAACTTGCAACAAACTTGCAATCGTGATTGCAAGTTTGTTGCAAGTTTGCAACAAACTTGCAACAAACTTGCACGGTCACCTCTGCAAAATAGAGAAAAATCTTTAAATTTTTGTAAAAAAATAAGGAAATTTTTTAACAAAGTTTCAAAAAATGTGCCAAATCACTCTAGAATACTACGCGCTAGGCACCCCAAATCCAATCCGAAGTACTAAAAAGCTGCACCCCCGACCCCTATACCCCTAAAACCTAAGCCCCTGAAATCCCAAACCCCTTAACCCCTACATCGTAAAATCCTAAACCCTCGGACCCTGTACCGTAGAAGCTTGAACCTATTAACCCAATCCCAGCCAAGCTGAAACCCCGAAACCTTAACCCCCCAATCCCCCCAACCCTTGATCCACCAAGCCCCGAACCCCCTGCACACCCAATCCTAAAACCCTGAAACCACCCGAAACCCTAAACCCCTAACCCTAATCCGCCACACCCCCCAAACCCTAATCCCCAAACCCCAAACATCCTCAAACTGAACCCTAAACGCCTAAACCCTAAACCGCTAAACCCTGAACCCTTAACCCTAAACTCCTACACCCTTCAAGGGTGGTGAGTGGTGGTGGTGGGTGGGGTGGTGGGGTGGTGGGGTGGTGGGTGGTGGGGTGGTGGTGGTGGGGTGGTGGTGGTGGTGGGGTGGTGGTGGTGGTGGTGGTGGTGGGTGGGGTGGGTGGGGTGGTGTGGGCTGGGACGGGGGGCCATCATGCGCATCAGTGGTGTTGGTGGGTGGGCAAGGGCAAAATGCACCTTTCATGAAACGGTGCGTTTTGTTTTTTGTGGTGTCTCTTCGCCCTCTGGAAAAAGGAGGGAACCCTTTTCCGCCGCACCCCCCCACCGCCCCCACCACCCCCACCACCCCCCCACCACTCCACCCACCCCCACCACTCACCACCCAGGATTGAGTTTTGTCTGGTTGCAGGGGTTGTTTTGAAGGGTGTAGGAGTTTAGGGTTCAGGGTTTAGCGGTTTAGGGTTTAGGCGTTTAGGATTCAGGGGTTCAGAGTTTAAGGATTTGGGGTGTAGGGGCTTTGGGGTTTAGGAGTTTAGGGTGAAGCGGGCAAAACAACGGCAACAAATCGTACTTCTTAGCACGTGGGCACCGCTTCGAGGCCGAAACAACGGCAACAAATCGTACTTCTTAGCACTTGGGCACCGCTCTGAAGCCAAAACAACGGCAACAAATCGTACTTCTTAGGACTTGGGCACCGCTTCGAGGCCAAAACAAAGGCAACAACTCGTACTTCTTAGCACTCGGGCACCGCTTCGAGCCCAAAGCAACGGCAACAAATCGTACTTCTTAGCACTTGGGCACCGCTTCGAGGCCAAAAAACGGTAACAAATCGTACTTCTTAGCACTTGGGCACCGCTTCGAGGCCGAAACAACGGCAACAAATCGTACTTCTTAGCACTTGGGCACCGCTCTGAAGCCAAAACAACGGCAACAAATCGTACTTCGAGGCCGAAACAACGGCAACAAATCGTACTTCTTAGCACTTGGGCACCGCTCTGAAGCCAAAACAACGGCAACCAATCATACTTCTTAGGACTTGGGCACCGCTTCGAGGCCAGAACAACGGCAACAAATCGTACTTCTTAGCACTTGGGCACCGCTCCGAGGCCAAAACAACGGCAACATATCGTACTTCTTAGCATTTGGGTGTGGGGTTTGGGGATTAGGCTTTGGTGGGGTTGAGGTTTAAGGATTTGGGGTGTAGGGGGTATTGGGTTTCGGGATTAAGGTTTGGATGGTTTGGGGACGAGGATTTGATGTTTAGGGTTTGGTAGGCTTGGGTTTTTTGGGTTAGGGTTTCGGGGTTGGTGGGTGTTTGAGTTCTAAACCCGAAACTAAACCCGAAACCTTGTGTCGTGCTCGTCGTCATCGTCCTTTGTTGGTCGTCGTCGTCGTCCTCGTGCAGTCGCTGTGTCGTCGCTGTCGTGGTGGTCTTCGTCCTCGTGCTTGTGTTCGTGCTCGTCATCGTCGTCGCCCTCTTGTCGTGGAGTGTAAAGGAGAGAACATGGATTTGTGGCAAAGGTCATGCTGCCGTGGATTACATGCAAAGCAAATATCCTGGCCCGGACATGTCACCAATCCAAGCATCGAGGGTGCGGTTGCGACCTCTGACTAGGATAAGGACGAAGCATGGAAGCAGAGGTCTGGCGACTCGTGGGTTGCGCATGAATCAGCATGTCGCTAGTTTTCGCTTCCGTTGCTGCCAGATTCATGGCACGAAAAACACGAGGTGATCCTAGCACGCGCTTAGAAGAAGGCGGATCGCACGGTTCTGACAAGCACCACGGACGGCGTTTACTTGGCCGGAATGATACTTTGCTGTTGAGAATGGCGATTCTGCGAAAGCGTTTAAAGCCGCATGTGGCATGTTTGGCTTTGATGTGCGTGGAGGTCCCAAACCATGGAGGGCGATGCTTGGAAAGCGTTTGAAGTGCATGTCGCATGTTAAGTTTTGCGGTTCGTGTAGGTCTCACAATACGAAGCTCTAGGAAAAGTTTTCGGAGGGTCATGTTGTCATTGTTAGACCAGAAGCATGAGTTCACTGTCTCTTTTGTGTGCAACATGATTGCTCTCTCTGTCTGTCTGCTGGTGCAGCAAAATTGAGCTTGCCATCTGCAGGCGGAAGGCAAGAGGAGGGGCTTTGTGACTACATGTGGGTGGAAGGCAAGAAGAGGGGTGTTGTGACTCATGGGCCTGCGGTGCCCGCATTAAGGCGGTGTCAAATCCGTCGCCTGGGGTTGTGACCCGCACTGCAGGGCAAGGGCCAGGGAAGGGAGGCCACGATACGACCATGCTTACTGTGTATGCATCTTGGCTCTGGATTTTCATGCTTATTTCTGATCAATTTCATGACTTTTCAGCTGTTGAAAAAAGTTAATTTCCATAGTTAATTCTACAGAATTAACTAATTTTTAATTAAAAATTTTATCTTAAAATTGACTCTAAAATTAACTATTAGTTAATTCACCATTTCTAACTAATAGTTAATTTTGGTACTCAAAATTAACTATTGACTATTAGTCAGGAATTTGCCTAACCCGATCTATTGGGTCCATTCCATCTGGAAAGGTCGCGGTGACCAGGCTGATTGCGCGAACTACCGAGCTATCCTTGTCAGCAGCTCTGTAGGTAAGGCAGTGCACGGCATGTTCAGGTCTAAGTGTTCCGACTACCTTGATACGGCGTGCACGCCAATGCAGATTGGCGGCAGAAAAGGCCAACCAGTCCAGATTGCCACGCATGCCATTCGAGCATTCCAGAAGGCCTGCGTCGACAGGAAACGGTCTTGGGCCATCCTGTTCGTCGACCTTAGAGAAGCGTTCCATAGGGTCGTCCGCCCACTGATACACGGAGGTAGCCTTAGTGATGAACACCTTGCGGGAATCATTAAAGAAATAGGCCTCCCCACGCAATCAATCCACAGACTCTATGAGTATGCCAGGGAACAGTCCTTGATCCAGGAAGCCGGCGCTTCCACATGGACTTCTCAAGTCATGCGGGAATTCATGGAGGATTCCTGGGTCACTTACGGAGATTGTCCACAACTGGCCTCCGTTCGAGCCGGAACCCGACCGGGCGACAACTTGGCGGATCTTGTTTTCACTTTCCTCTTCGCGGAAATTCTGCATCGAGTGCGCGAGCAATTCCAACGGAGAGGTTTGTCGGTACACATTCCCTGGAACCCTGAGTGGCTTTGCCGCAAGAAGTCAACGGCGGCGGCTGCCACATGTTCTCCAGTTGACGCCACCTGGATGGATGACCTCGCTGTCATCCTGACAGATGCCACCGCACAGGGACTTTTGGCGAAACTAAAAGCTGCCACCTGCGTGACTCTAGAAGAATGCTTAAAGGCAGCCCTGCTCCCAAACCTCCGTGCCGGCAAGACTGAGGCACTGGTTGCCTTGTATGGACCGGGCTCCAATACACTAGCAAAGGAAGTCTTCAGAGGAAAGCTTCCTCAGCTGCCCCTGGATTCCTCCCTATGGCCGGAAGCTAGTTTGGGTTTGGCATCCTGCATGCAAAGGGTGGCTTGCAGGCTGAGATCAAGACCCGCTTAGGATGTGCTTGGCAGGCATTCAACAAGCATCGTCGACAAGTCTTTGCTTCTCCCATAGTGAGGATTGCCGAAAAAGCCATCCTGTTTACCTCACTCATAGAGTCGACCCTGTACTACGGTGCAGGGACATGGTCAGGCCTACGACCGGCAGACATTGCCCGACTACAAAGTCACGTTGTTAACATGGCACGCAGTATGCTCTCGAACGGTCGAAAAGAGGCTGACCTTTGCCACGACAGTCACCACAGCATCCTTGCTGCGGCTCGAATCCCTACTGTATCCACTTCACTCCATGTGGAGCGGCTTCGTCACTTCAAAGCCACTGTTCTCAAAGCCACGGATGAACTTTGGTCTCTCCTCCACCACGAAGCTGCTTGGATTGACACTGTCCAAGACTCTTTAGGATGGCTTCAGGAGCGGCACAGATGTTGCTGTTCTGACTCCCCACCCTGGGCTGATTGGGACTTTGCTGTGGGCTTCATCCGGACCTCACCTGAGGCCTGGAAGAGAACTGTGAATCGGGCCAAATACATCGCTACTCTGGAAGAACTCTGGCAAGCTGAACTGAATAAGTTTAAAGGCCTTGCATTTCGAGCATTCCTGAAGGCTGGAGCCTGTCTACCTTCTAATCTGCCACCTAGGCAGAGTGCTCATGAGGTTTGCGAGATCTGCGGTGTCGTTTTTGATGACCTTCGTGCATGGTCTCACCATGCTTTTAAAAGGCATGGGCGCCTCAATCCAGTGCGACGTTTAGCACAAGGCACCCAATGTGCTGTGTGCTTGGCTCACTTCCGTTCCAACAAAGGCTTATGCAATCACCTCGAATATGCCCGTAGATGTCGACACGCCCTCATCAATCAGGGCTTTGATTGTATTGCTGAGCTTGGCACAGGGAGTAGGAAATTCGACAGTGGCGCCCGAGTGCTGCTTCCTTCTGTGAGGGCGCAGGGTCCACTCCTTCAATGGAACCATGCCCCTGCCATTGATGAGCAGCATCTCCCCTCTGAGCGGATCCTGCGCGACTTGGAGGCCCTTTTCTGTCATGATGTCGGCACCTGTGTGGATTGGTCTGCCTTTGTCGATAGGCTTCAGTCCATCTTCAAGGGCGAGTGCCTCCAACAGTCCAGACTCAAAGCCACTGCTGAGCAATGGACCCAGCAGTTACATCACACGTTAGACCAGGATGACGACTGGAATGTCCAATGGGTTTCGTGGCACCTTCGGGCCGCACGTCTACTTCAGGAAGTCGACTTTGTCGAGTGGCTTGGCAATGAGGGCTGCACGCCATCCCTTGTTACTTCCACGTTTCGTGATGCAGAGACCCTTACTCCATGGTTGGACTTTTCTGGTGTCATCATCCCCACAGTTCCTGCACCTGTGCAATTTGGTTTCTGCTTTTCTGCTGGTGCACCCAAGCCTCAGTGGCTTCACTGCCGTGCCGGGACAGACAAGGAGTGTTTTGCTTGCACGGATTGGGCTGATGCCGCAGGTGAAGACAAATTGGTTTTCCTGTCCGGGGCCGGCCTCCGTGGCTCCTTCTCACTCCCCTTCCCACTCCGGTCCTTTGCTTCCATTTCGGACCAATTGACTCAACTCCGTCTCCTCTCTGACCTTGTCAGGGGAGCCTTCTTCCTTTGGACGAGCCACCTGCTTGTTTCTTCGCAAGATCTCCTGCTCTACAGTTGAGGTCGTTCGTCGTGTAGCCCCCTTCTGCGTGCACAGGGCAGAAGGTGAGCTGCTGGCGAATTTTTGCCTAGAGAGTTGCCCTTTCTTTCGTTTCACCTCAAATTAAATGCAAGCCGTATGGCTGCGTCCAGACCAGGACCCTACGCCCGGAAATGCGAAATGCGAATACATGGTCAGGACACAACCAGACCAGTTCCAAAAAATAGACGGGGTGCGAGCTCACTACCTGCCAACATGCTGGAGAAGTCCTGCCACCTGGACAGCACATTCTTGGATGGATATATACCGCGATATATACCGCAGCATTAACACTTTGTAAACCAACTGTTTCCATGTTTCCCACTGCCTCCCTATTAAGTGCGAAACATATGCACACATAACTTCACGCATCACCAAAATCGTTATTTTGTGTGCTTTTCGGCCCATATATATCTAGTATAGATGCCTTGTGGAAGCTTGTTTATCGCCGTTTACTAGTTACGCTTCTCCGCGATCAGTGTTGGAACGGGCACATGAGATACATCTTTTACCGCAAAGCGGTAAACCCGCCCTGTGAGGCCCTAGCCATGGGGGCCGAGCGCAGCGGCCGAGCGCAGCGGCCGCGGTGTTTAAATTAAAAGTATTGCAGAGAGAGACATCGACACAGTTGACGTCTTTGGGTCAACTGAGCACCACTGGGGCCGAGTCCCCCATGACCTCTTTGCTCGGAGACGGACATGACCGTGGTATGACGATGTGAGTGCAACGTCATGTATGTCGATCTCTGCTCATGTATTTACTTGCTAATGTTGCTTTTCGATGTTCTTGTACACATACTGATACAAACAGACACCTGAGCGCATCATGTGAATACAGTGAGAGCTGCGCAGCAAGCAGCCGTAGAGGTTTGCAAGCAGCGCTTCTGTCAGCTCCTCGCCTAGCGGAGCTCAAAGCCCAAGAGCTCAACAAATGCAACGGCAGAGTACCGTTTGCATCCAGGCCTTCCGTGCCGCCAAGGTCGATCACTGGATCTGCACCGCCTGCATCAGCACAAGATGAACGTGGTGGGTAGCACGGATGAAATTACCATGAGCAGAAAGACGATGCTATGAAGTGCGGTTGAGCTGGAACGTGCACAGATCTTTCTTGCCAGAGGCACAATGTGTTCACAAGGGAATCTCAGCGATTCATTCTGCTCTCAGACTTGTGGCGGCTGGAGAAAATTATCGAGCTCTCTGCATCCGTGTTGTGACGGACTCTTGCTGCTCAGCGACACAACTTCTGCATGGTGACCGATTCACGGACGGAGGAGGGGAACAGCGAGCGGGGTAAGGAGCAAGACAAGCAGCCTGTAAAAAAAAACAGCACACCTGCTGCTGCAGGATGGATTCGGGCATCGTGTTGGAAAGCAAGCTATCCCTTTTGTCGAACACCCACCCTTCCAAATAGGTGCAGCGAAAAGCCTGCACGAAAGCACACATGCTTATCAAAACAATACAAGAAGTCAAATCCCCTGTTGTGAGACTCGGCTGTTCCACAGCTCCTTGGGCTCATCCTTCTGGCCGATACTTCAGACTCATGTGTGACGGTGAATACTGGCGAATGTGAGAATAGCGCTTGACAAACGGGTGATGCCGTCAGCCAGGTTGAGGTGTTCCGGTATATGATGCACTCTGAGAAGCGACGACTGTCTTGTTCAACATATCCCTTCTTGCTGGATCACCGGGAGCCTGAACTCAGCTGCCGTGCCAATAACGCTTTCGGAGTGGCTTCGAGGCGGAAGGTATCACATCTGACCCAAGGCTAGTCGGCTAGTGCGGCTATCCATCCCTCCATTCATCCGTCCATTCATCCCTGTCGTGAGCTTCCTGGGTCTGCGCTTCGTGCTTCGTGCAAGTGTGCCTCTGCTTCAATGAAACCAAGCAGAACATGACGCATCGAATCTATGACAGTGTGCATGCGATTCAACGCCGCCGCTCCCTGACTTCCTCCACTCGCCCTGCTTGCTGTTGCGTAAGCCGCTTATACTACACGAAAGGCTAATGCGACAAAAAACTTCGCGCCTGGACCGGAGTTGAAGAATGCTTGCATTGGAGTTGCACAGGCAACGCATGCCTCTTGTAAGGGATGTCAGAACTTGCAAACTTGTGTTCGGCAGTTGCCTCTGTGAGACAGCTGCGTGTGCACGGGGTTGTCGCCCTCATCCACACCGCCGCTTGTGGCACTGCACAAGGCGGTTAGTGTGTATGTCAATGTGGCTTTCCGAGACTTGAAGCAACGTCGCTAGAAAAGGTTTGGAAGCAGTGTAGAGCCAAACAAGCAGCGAGCAGCAGTCCTGCCTGCTCTTTGCTGATGGTACTTGGCAAACTCTGCATCTGTCATGCAAATGACCTGTGCATCTTTGCACGTTGGCCTCTTGTATCCTCAATCTTCTCAAACACTTTACTGCATTTGCTGGCTTGGTGGTTCCTATTCTCTTCTCATGCTGCAGGTCGTGACATTCTTGAAACATACAGCTGTGCACCAGCAGCATCGTCGCCAATTCGTCAGGAAGAATGTCCGTGGGAGATATGCAGAAGGAGCCGCTGCCAATGCCAAAATCCTCAATGATGGCCGGCCATCGTTCTCTGGACGACTGCGCACGAATCGTTCGGTCATGAAACTTCGTCCTCTGTCCTGCAGAAGAGACAGCCGCGCAAAAAGGTAATCTTCCTGGCAGAGCTGCAAATGGGCTGACAGATGATCAACTCACTGTGGCAGGTGTGAACTGCAAAGCCTAAAACGGATGCATGCGGAATGGCTAGCCTGGGCTCACACAGGTCCTGCCTCATCGTCCGCTGAGTCTGTCTCATCCTTGCCCGTGCAGAGAGAAAAAGGGTCTACATGCACTTGCTGATGACAGTTCCGAACACGCGCCGTACATAAGTCCACATATCGGATGGCAGCACAATAACAACACGTGTGGGGCGGCAAAGTCCCGAGAGACATCGCAAGGGAGAGTGCTTGGATAGCGCACCCTCTGCGTCGCGAGAGAGGTGACCCATACTATTCTGCTGAACCACAGTTGGTCGTCGAGCGAAACGCCTGTGCTAGAAAACTGCAGTCACTGCATTGTAGGCTTCTTTTCTGATATACATTCTTTGATTGACCGTGGACAGTTGAAACAGGGCAGATTCAACTTGCTGGCAAGTAGAAATGCGTTCACTGCATTTCCAAACCCATTTCGGACCAACATCGACAGTACAGTGAGGGCAGGGTGGCTGCGGTGGGCCTTGCAAAAGCGCATGTGAGCCAGCGCTGAACTGACCTCACATTGGACTTGACATCATTGCCAAATGGCTGGTTCGCATTAACTGAAGCACAAAGCACGCCAACCAAAAATGGCTCTAAGACTTGGTTAGGAGATGCGTCTAAACAGGATTGGGCCAGGAGAACTATCAAAGCACAGAGACTGCAGCGACAAACAGACACAGCTTGAGGCTGTGTGAATTCGACATCTGTGTGATGTCCAAGTCCTAGAACAACTGCCCCGTACTTCTCGCAGTGTCTATCAGTAGCATGCAAGTGAAGTGACGGATGCAAGCAAAGTCGCCACATCTGCTGGTGTGACAAGAAGATCGTCGCATGGTCGCGAGCTGTCCCGAAATCCACCATTAAGGAGCCATTGGGTGTTGCCCTTGCATGCCACTTGCTCGTGTCACGGATTCTTCCAAACACACATCAGCAAGGGTCCTGCATGCCATAGCAATTGAAGATCTCCTCCCCAGCAGAAATGTCCCGCTCTGCGTGGAACAAAAGCTGCTCGCCACCTGTTGTACACTTTGGGACCCGGCGCCGAAACCCAATTTTTTTCTTGTGTCTTGGGTTCCTGTGGCAAGTTGGAACATACTGCGGTGGCAACATCGGGTTTGTTACAGGGAGGGTGCCCCGAATTGCACTTCCGAAGGTTTCGGCTCAATTTTAATTTGATGGCCTTTTGTGACTCGGAAGGCAGTACCCCGCAGCACACTTCACGGCTCTGTGCGAAGAGTGTCTGGGCTCCGGTTTACCGGGTTCAGACTGTTTGCAAGTCACAGCCACAGCCCTTGAGACTTTAGTATCTGCAGATGAAAACGGTCAGCACGATGTTAAGAGATCAAAAATTCAGGGGGTGGGCAGAAAATGGCAGAAAGACCTTGGTTAAACCCTGCCAGATACTCCGGGATAGTGACGATCGGGAGGAGTCGGAACTGCGTGTGTCCAGGGACTCGCATGGGGCAGGATCTGTGTCCTCGAAGTAGAACATGAACATAGGCAATATGCGAAAGGGAGAGAGAGAGAGAGAGAGAGAGAGAGAGAGAGAGAGAGAGAGAGAGAGAGAGAGAGAGAGAGAGAGAGAGAGAGAGAGAGAGAGAGAGAGAAAGCCCACTCAGCTGCGACCCCGAAGCCCAGATCCGCGTCACTAGCAGCCCCTGTCAGGCGGACTGTCTTGGACACACTGACAAGCTGTCCCGCGAGCAGGGCAGGCAGCTCACACGCTCGCGGGTTCAAAACAAAACCCGACTTTAAAGCCATAAATCAATCAATGAGGTATTCAATCTGTCCATGACTTTCGGGTGTACCAGCACGTCAAAAGAGCACCAAAGCTGAAATCCAGGCAAGCCTCAGTCTCTCATCCGGGTGTGCGGAGCAGCGCTGGAATGATTCAGTGCCTTGGCTTGTTGAGGCTGAGTTAGTAGTTTCAGCTGCTTTCCACGGCGCGCTGGCCGCTAGATCCAGCCGCTTCTGAGAATTGGCCCGTTTTGCCACTGTCTGAAAGGTTGTGCGATGCTCGGTGCACGGGTGGTGGCTTTTCTAAAACGCAACACGGAGCCCTCAGTCAGCAGTCAGTTTTGCTTTGGCTCACAGCGTGGTGACGGCAACGATTGTCAGTGCTGATTTCTCTTTGCAACTGAGCGAGACGAGCAACCGAAGTGAACCTTGCGTGAAAACAGAACTACTCCGTCATGTGGGCATCGTTCCTGCACGGCCAACTTGTGACGACAAATTACCTCGCGTACTTACTCGAAGAGACCGCGCCGTCGCGTCCACACCCGGAACCGGCAAAGGACAGCAGATGCAATACTGCCACACTCTCTCGGAGCCACTCCACAGAAGCTCACTGACAAGAACTGCTTCCGAGCTTCGTCGGCGAAAGGCGCCAGGATTACTCCAGCCGCGGACGAGTCGAAAGCGCGTGAAGCCACAACTGAGGCGGCCCAGCGCAACCTTGATATCTCTGAACGCTGTCCGATATCGAAGACAAACCGAATAAAGAAGCTAAGTTGTAGAAAATGTTGTTTTCGCGCAGAGACATGCAGATGCAACTTGACTGCACAGCCGACGCAAGCCAGGGGGACGTGAGGGGCAGCAGTGACTTGTAAATGCGAGCCGATGCTGGTAAGCGAACGTGACTGATGCAGTGCTCCTTGTATGCTGTGCTGCGAACTGGGAAGCGGGTTCAAGCGCAGCTTGACAGAGAAATTTAGTCCGCATGTGTTTCCTTGCAACCGACGCAAGCTCCAAAGAAGCTGGCTTTCGGGAATAGGTTGAATAGGCGCGGACCAGGAAGAACCCCGGCGATCAGCGTGCATTGCAGGATAAATAGGTACACGTTGAAACTGAAAACATACTGCAGTAATGGTATCAAATATGTGTTGCTGCAGCGCACAGAACATGGACAGTGCTTTCATATGATGCAATGAAAGCGCGAGAGATTGCACAAGGGTGTGTCAATAATGACTCGGAGCCTGGAGCACGGAAGTGCGAACCCGGTCCCAAAAAAACACTCCTACTGTAATGACAAGGTGTTAGAAAACATGGCTACAAATGGTCTCGAGTGTGGTGGCATCTGTTGCATCCACATAATGTAGTCTGGCTGTCATTCAGCTTCACAAATGGATTTTTACGATTTTTTCGGCAATGCCACACTTCGTTTTGCTTGTCGCGAATCACTGTTTCGGCTGTTTGCCAACCCAGCTGTTCGGACTCAGACTTCAACTGGCTGCTTGGGTTCAAAACGGAAAAGCCAAACTTACAGAGAGAGCGGACAACAACAGCGCCAAGGAACAGAGCAAAAGAACGCCCGACTCATGCGAACCGTTAGGCGGCCGGTCAAGAGTCTCCAGGCAAAGCACGGCTTCAAACTGACGGTGGCTCGTCGCCAGTCTAGGAATCTAGGGCATGAGGTGATTGCGCCGGGGACAGAGGAAGTCGAGGCGGCGATCGCAGAAGAGCGTAGGTGGTGGTGGTGGTGGTGCTGCTGCTGCTGCTGTTTGCTGTGAGTGTGGCCGTGTGCTGGTGTATGTTGTCGACGATGCGTGTTGCATGCTTTCGGGCCTATCACCAACCGTTGCAACAAAATGCTTGCATGAAAAGCTCTGTTGGTTGCTTGCGGAAGCTGCTCTGCCATTTCTTCCTGCCTTTTGTGTACGTCCCCAGCTCTGCTCATTCTGCTCTAGACTAACTCAAAAAGATGGCAACGCCCCTGTCGCTTGCAACTGTTGCCTATTGAGCGATTTTGGGCAGTGTCTTTTCTTCAATAGCAGCAAAGCAGGTGTTTGATACAGTTCGACCTGGCAAGGCCAAGATACTGTAACAGGAACTGAATGCTCCAACACGTCGTGCCTTCAAAAGCTGAGGCAGCGTCTGCTCCAGAGAAGGTGGGGATGTAAAAATGTCCAACTGCTCGCAGCACGATTGCATGGCCTGCAAGTCCTGGCAGACCAAGCAGGAAACCCTCGACAAGTCGTAAGACTTGCCCACACCATTCCATTGGCCAGGGCTTTTTCGTCCTTGACATTGGCAATGTGAGCTCCCTGAAGCAGCGTGTCCACTGAAGTGCCCTTCAAGAATTCCTTCTCCTGCAATTTCTCACATGGGAAGCTCGCACGAAAAGCTTGAAGCATCTGTGCAGCTGCGTCCTCCTCCGTATACCACAAAGGCAGTGTGGGAAAGGTGCTTGGTAGCGTGCCTGCAGCCGCACCAGAAAACTGCATGTGCACACTGACATGCGGTTTGTAGATGCAGCTGAGACACGGATGTATGGTAGCCAACCTCAGTCTGATCCCTGAACCATGCACGACGCACGGGCCGCATGCGCTGAGGGGCTCGATTGCTGGGCCTTGACCAAGACCTTTCAACAGAGACGTGAAGAGACACCGCGAGCGGGCAGCTCGGGCCCTCCAGCCCAGCCTCCTGTAGCAATCGCAGCATCAGCTTCTGCTGCTCCTCAGGACCAAAGGCTTCTCGCGCTTGCGAATGTGAGTTTCTCCCTGCGAGCGCGCGGCATCCATGAGGAATGCACCTTCCTCAGAAAGGGACAGGAACTCTACTGTTCGCGTTACTTGCAGAATTAAATGAACTTGCTCGTGTTGAATCCTGTGTATTCGGATGTATTCGGGAGATATTCGACTGCCGAAACTGCCAAATATGTACAAGCCCGTGCTCCCAATTCTCCACGACGTGCCGGGATCTATTCCACAATATCCGATATTGGAGTCGCAGTTGGCGTCCAAGTTTACTTCCCTTCTGCGGGCCATCTGCGGCGACGCGGTTGTCCGGGTGGCGCTCCTGCCCTCCCTTCCGTGGTTTGCACTCGATGCGCAGTGTCCGCAAAGCATTCTCGCGGTCAATTGCGGTCGCTCGACAGATACTTTGCATAGAAACCGCCATCCAAACTTTGACTTGCTTAGTCTTCTCGATGCGGACAACAGGACGTTGTGAATTTTCGGGGGCTTGGGGTTGGATGGTGCTTGGGGGCGTGAGAGCCTGGTCGTCGTCATATTGTCAGCATACTGATGGCCCTGTGCTCTCCCATTGGCCGCAGTATCAGGCTAGCGGCTAGCGATGATTGATGATGATGGATATGATGATCATCATCATCACCACCATCATCATGAAAGTAATGTTGATGGTGGAAGGATAACCGGTGTAAACGAGCTCGCATTCGAAGCGCAGCCGGACGTTAGCCGGTCAACAACTACGTACATAAGTTCCGGGTTTAGGGAGGGCTCAACACAAACAGGGCCACACAGCAAGGCCCAAAGTGCGATCCAAAATCTATGCGAGCTTGCGCCACCAAGCGACTGTTTATCTTCAATTTCTACTTCGGCAATCAACGAAACATGTCATGACTCCATGCATCTGCAAAAACCCTGGCAAAACTGGAGGTGCATGTGACATGTGCATTGACAGCATCCCACACAGCAAAGTAGCAGTTAACTCGACATCTCCGTACATTCTGCGTGATTGCGCTGTGGAAAACACTCAGGTTCCAGTGGTACGGTGTTTGGCGTTAGCAAATGCTTCGCACACCGTGGTGGCTTCGTCTCGCGCCGGAACACTACGGGCACAACTTGGGACCTACAGGCGTTGCCAAATGAATTGACTTGGGGCTTATTTAGATTGACTTTGGACATACGACCGACCTGTACACGGCATGTCAGGTATGGTGCACAGAACGCTGCGATGGGGAGCGTTTGCAATTGCTATTGCTGTTCAGTCCTTAAGAGATCTAGGAGAATGCGCTCCTAGGCGGATGCAAACGCCATTCAGACGGCTTAGCTGCTGGATCACGGAATTACACTGATGTCGAAGAAGATCAAACAAAGCCTCGAGGCCACCACCACAAACACAAAACACCCTTCCAATCCAATGCACTTCAGCCGAACACTACAGGGATAACGTGCAGGAATGTGCATGCAAGAAGAGTCTTCAGCTTAAGGCTAAGAGAACGATGCAAAGACTGTCGACACAGTCAATCTTACGCAAGACTGACCAAGCATTCTCGCTTTGCAATGCCAAGTCTCAGAAGATGGGCAAAGGTCTGCACGAAGCGGCCTGGACACATGTTGCAGAAGTCATCCTGCGCATGTCCCAAGCTGTACGACGCCACTCTGCCATCGAAACACGAGCAGCCTCAAACAGGCCTGCAAAGGAAGGTCGAGCCTGAACGTCCAGAGCTTAAAACCAAGTACAGCCCTTCGTCCAGACGAAGCTGCATCTCGAAGGGCTTCTCATCTTCTTGTATGTAGCAAGGACATTTATTACACCGCTTTTCAACTACACGTGTGCAAGTCTCAGACACCTTGTTCCACCAATGACCCTCATCAACCTGTCAACGCTCCTCATGAAAGGCTTACCCTGACAGATTCCGCTTCTAGGAAACGTAGAGACCTCTCCGAGCGCCCCCAGCTTGAAGCACAGCTCTGGCTATTTGTCTTCGAGCCAATAAGTCGAAGCAAAGTCGAGACCACAACCCTCTGACTGTCATGGGTCATTGTCATCTTTCCACTGACGCTAGGCCAGGCCATGCTAGGCACAAGCATACAACCCTTGTAACCCCATCAGGACTGAATGCACTGACAATGACCCCAGGCTCTGCTTTGAAAGAACGGGCCCAAGGGGCGCGAGATCTTTGACAAAGCAACCAGACCTAACTGAACATGCAACCAGTGGTGTGCACGCAAAAATTTTAAAATCACATCCAGCATGTCAAGATGCCGAAGAAACTCTCAGTCCTGTGGCACCAGATTGGCTCAAGTTCTCCAGCTCCCAACTGCACACATCCCCCGTGCGGCGCGCAACCAGGAAAACAGTTAGGCAGTCTGCATGCATCTACACTAGCAGATGTTAAGCCATGCATGCTAGCAGGTACTCGCCCCACCGCCCCCTGAGACATCATAAGATGCTTGTCCTCGTCGGAGTCCGGCGGTGAGCAAGCCCGAGACTTTCCAGACTTGGTGTCCAGCAACTCCCAACCTCAGCAGGCTTCGTACGAGAGGTCACTAAAGCCAGCTGTGCCGCAATTATATTGAAGCTGAATGGCTGCCGTCCTCTCTCTGCCGCTTGCAGAAACGGCCACCTGATACTTTTGTCGGTAGTCCCGCGCTGGGAGCCTTTTGTGCCTTCGCTGGCACAGCACTTACGTATGAGATTAGAGTAGGACGGCAACTCTTGGGAGTTCCAGTTCCCGAGGCCTCACTTCTGATCATCACATCGTTGTCCGAAAGTGCATAGACGAGCTGTCCGATGTCGAGCTTTATTTCGTATGGCGCTCCAGGAAAACTTCGAGGCCAACATTTGTCCTTGTCGCCGGTACAGATTTTCGGCTGTGCAACTAAAGGACACGACAAGGCAGAAAGCATAACAAGTTATGCAGGGACTGACAGCTTTGGCGGAAATGTCGTCGAGAAGCCCCCACTGCTGTGTCCGGTAATTACACAACAGAAATGTCCTTTCAACCTGTAGCGGATCTGGACTTTAACCCTTGGATGGGATTCCTGGAATGCTTGGACAGCTAGCATGTATTGCGTTTAAGTATCCCGATACCACAGCGCGACGACGGTACCTTCTTCCCAGGCAGTCGTACCTCCTGGAGCCTGCGCAGGGGTAAACCATCGCGTCGGTTCGACATGTTTGATCACCAAACTTCCTTCCACTGCTTGGCTTCCAACACGGCAGAGTCACCTAGAGCAGCTACGTCCTTTTCTGACACCTCTGCTGGGCCAAGTGCCAATTATTCCCAATCGTGACTGGCTGCACGTTGTTTACCACAACTCCCTCGACACATGAATCTCGAATACATATGCCTCGAGTTGATCAACTACACCTTTGAGCGACCAAAGAAAAGAGAGGTTTTCCCCAATTGGACGTGTATGGTCGTGTCACAAAATAGCGGAATGTTGCCCTGCGTAGTGGAAAGATGCTCACCTGCATTTCCAGCTCGCACAACCCAACAAGCTCCATGTGCCCCGACTTGTGTCTACTCTGACTACACGTGATAATATCAAGTACTCGATGGAGCTCTGCTTTCTGGACGAAGGCTGATCCTGTGAGGCTTTTCTTCGGCTGGTTTGCACATGCATCGGCCCAGAAATTTCCTGCGTGCCTCTTCCATGATGTCGGCGTGTGATGGGCGGGCACTTTGCGAACATCGGGCTTCCCCGGGCCTATTACAACTCAGGATAACTCAGGGCTACTCAGGTTGTACGGGGTCCTGAGCAACCGGTCTAGCGTATCATAATTTTCGGACGGCAGGGATCCGACGCATCGCTGCGTTGGCGGCCGGTTCCGGATTAAGAACTCCGTCGCCCGTTGCGTCTTTCCGTATCGGCTGCGCTTTTACGGCCGCCCGACGAACTTGCCACACAATGCCACATGTACAGTAGGAGAACTGCACGAGCATCCGCTGGTGCTTTGTGTTCGTCGTCCACTCGCTATGCGAGAAGTGCGCGCAGCGTCGTCTTCACACGAGAAGTCACAGGTCAAAACACAGGGATTACATGACCATGGTGTAGAGTTGTCACCCACTCCAGGCAGGGGGAGGCAACTGTCACGGCGATCCCTCCTCGACTCTTGGGCGAAGAGAGGGACAGAGCCAAAACGAACCCCCTCCTGAGAAGCCAACTCACAGGACGAATCATGCGGTTTTCTCTTTGCTCGAATTTGGCTCCGCTGTCTCATACAGGGCCGACGCCGCGCTGAATCGTCGAACTAGACTTGCTTGGCATCTGGGCCGGCTGCTACAGTGGCTGCGAGGGCGAGAGCTGCGATATCTCCGGCCGAACAGCTGCATGGGCCATGAAGGCCGTGAATGCTTTATACAGCTGCTTGAGGTAGCCTGCCTTGGCTCTCCGCCACTCATCTACACATCTCCCCGAATCTCTCCGAACTCCGATTTATGCTCGTTACCTTACAGTCCTCCACGCGGCACCGGACACGATCACCCTCGAGGAAGCGCAATGAAGTTTCGGGCCTGGCTTCTCCTTGCGGCCCACTTTGCAAAGGGTACAAAAGAAGAAAGGACGAGTGACGAGACTCTATTCAGAATTATACCTCAGTCCAGCGTTTGGGTCCAACTATTTGGAGGCCTGGGCTTTAGCTTAAAGAACTTACAGGTGCCATGATGGCAGGCTATGGCCTGGCTATGGCAGGCTTGCCGGGCCCCATCCTGCAAAAGCGCTACTTACAGTCTCCTGTGATGCCAGTGGCGCTGACTTTCAGGCACCTAGCCCCGGATGCATCAGCCTTGCTCAGGAAAGCAGCACTGTTTCTACACACATCTCGACATGTTGTGCGACTATGGGGCCATTTCCGGAGCCAGTTCCACCACCGCCGGCAGAAGGGCCAGAAGCGCTGCCGGGTTTGGTGGGACATTATGCTGAGCAGCAATATTTTCGTAGTCGGAGGCCCAATCCTCGGTCGTGTTCTGGGCTACCAAACTGTGAAGAGAGCCCTTTGAGGCGCCAGAAGGCATGAAGCCTTTAAGCGCTGAAGCCACAACAAACCTTCCGATGGTCACGGAACCGTATCGGAAGGGCAATTCATTTCATTTCATTTCGTCATTTAAGCTTTTTGGCACCGCTGGATCTTCGTGGAGCAAGGTAAGCTTAGCGTGCACGGGGACAAGGGCTTGGCAGGGGCTAGAAATGACAGCTGCTATGTAAGACAAACCAAGCACAGTGCCGAAGGCCTGCAAGGACCTTGGCGTTAGAACCGATTTGGATGCAATGCAACTGTATTTCCTGTCTGCACGGTGCATGGGCATCATGAGCTTGAAGCCCAAGTTTAGAGACTGGGCAGGAAGCCCTCGCACTCATTCGTTGCAGAAAGAGCAGTGCCGCTCAATCTTTCGGCTCAGAGGGTTGAAAGGTCAACCTGCCTATCCGAGGGCAGTATCCGCTTGCAGAATCTGCATGACTTCGTCGCACTTTTGTCAATCAGCCAAGGCTCCAGCGGCGAGAGCTTGAAGCCATCGCGCTGACAGACCACTTGGGGACTCTTTTGGAGGACCATGCGACAAATCGGGACCATCTCCTCATAGCTGGAGTATGGATTCAATACCATCCTTGCAAATGCATGAGCAGCAGGCTCCATCCAAGAGACAAGGACATGAAAAAGAGCTTCACGAACAGTCTCGAATAGCTGCAAAAAAAGGATCAGCAAGAGGGCTGAAGCACCGTTTTGCGAGATCGAAGGGCAGGCACCGGCCGCAAGGTACTGCTGCACGACCGAAGCTTGCAAAGGACGCTTTTCCTGTGCAAGCAAGGCTTGCTTTCCACATGAGGCTCTCGCAACACACGCGACGAGGCAGCAATGCGCAGTGCAAAGATTGGGACAATCCATGGTCAAGCCTCGAGCAATCTTTGTGATACTACGTTTCTAGCTGTAGATAGCTTCGCACTGGCCTCGTAAGCGGACTGCTCCAGGTACTGCATAAACATTTCAGACGTCCAAGCACGCGCTGTCGCTTCTCGGCCAACTCGTCTTTCGAGTTCAGTCAGGACCTGCATCTCGGTAGGTACAAGCGCAAAACACCAATAGACGGCAGCTCTATCGGACTCTCCCGTTCATCCTGACATCCAAGTTCAAGGGCATCTCACTCGCATGACATTATGTAACCCTGTTGCGAGCGTCACCAGTGCGCTCCTGCTCTATCCAGCAATATTGACGGCTAATTATGAAACTACAGAGAAGCAACGCCGTTGTGCGCGGTTCGTGTCGTAGTCGTCATCGTCGCTTTCGATCGCTTTCGTAGTGGACGGTAACGACGAGAACGTTGAGTTCTGCCGCCGGTTTCACAGATTCGAAGGCGAGCTTCTCTTGCGCACGAGCGGGAGTGGCAGCACCAAAAGATAGTGCGAATGGTGTTGTTGGTGGTAGCATTGCCCACTTGACCCCACTCGCCCCACTTGAGCCGGCTGGCAAAACAACAACATTGCAAGATTTCTCTCCCCTCCCCCCCCAGCCCACGGCAAAACGCATGTCCTGGCCTACAGCGTGATTCACACAAGCCAAAGCTGGGGTGATCTGGCAAAATAGCAAGATTGCAGGATTTTGCTCCCCCCCCACCTCTGACAGTCGGTTTTATTCTCCCTATAAGCCTTTTTAGAGGGCTCAAGGATTTAAGCGGGGTTTGGGGAGCTAAAGGCGGTTGGGAAGTGCAGGGGGTAAGGAGGCTACGAGGGTCGAGGGTTAATCCGCCGAGGCCAAAGGCCTCTGGCGTCTTGATGGTTAATACTAACCAACCCTCTACCTAATCCTTTTTTCTGCAGCCTAAATGCAAACTTCCACCCGTTTTCAGCGACTGTTTTCGACCCCCTTGCCCGGCTTCCGTCCTTTTTTGCTGCCGAATTTGCCTCCCCCCCTCCTGCCCCCCCCTCCCGGGCCCCTCCTCCTGCCACCCTCTGCCCCCCCATGCCGCCCCCCGCCCCCCCCCCGTCCCCCCCCCTCCCTCTCTCTTCCGCCCCTCCGGGTCGTCCTCCCCTCTGCCCTCCTCGCTCGTTTTCCTTTTTTGGTTCCCCACCCTCCTGCCCTCGTGTTTTTTCGATTGCCTGCTCGTTTTCTTTCACCTTTTCCTGCTCGTTTTCTTTCCTCTTTTCTTCTCTTCCGGCCGCCCCCCGGGCCGGCTCCACTGCCTTTTCTTCTTATGTTTCGTTCGCGTGCTTTGGCTTTTTCGGCCTGCCCCCCCCCGGGCCGGCTCCACTGCCTTCTCTTCTTATGTTTCGTTCGCGTGCTTTGGCTTTCCTGCTTCCTTGTTGAAGCTTCCCCCCCCCCCCTCCCTTCCCCGGCCCTCCTCCCCCCGGGCCTTCCCCCGGCCCCTTTTCCCACCCTTCCGTCTTGTCCTGCCCTCGAGTGTTTTTTCCATTGGTAGGTTTTGTGCACTTGTTTTTGGCTTGTTTTCTTCCCCCCCCTCCCCCCCACCCTTCCTCCTCCGGCCCCCCCTTCCTCCTCCGGCTTCCCCTTGTTTTTTGTCTTCTGCCTGCTCGTTTTCTTTCACCTTTTCTTCTCTTTCGGCCTGCCCCCGGCTCCACTGTCTTTTCTTCTTATGTTTCGTTTGCGTGCTTCTTTCCTGCTTCCTCGTTGAATCTCGTTTTGCTGTTTTGTTGCCCCTCGCCCCCCCCCCCAGCCCTCCTCCCTCCCCGCTCCCCCGGCCCCTTTTCCCACCCTTCCGTCTTGTCTGCACTTCTTTTGGCTTGTTTTCCTTCCTTCCCCCCCTCCCCCTCTTGCTGGCCCCCCCTTCCTCCTCCTTCCGTGTTGTCTTGCCCTCGCGTGTTTTTTCGACCTTTTCTCCTCTTTCGGCCTGCCCCCCACCGAGCCGGCTCCACTGCCTTTTCTTCTTATGTTTCGTTTGCGTGCTTTGGCTCTCCTGCTTCCTCCTTGAAGCTCCGTCGTTTTGCTGTTTTGTTGCCCCTCGCCCCCGCCCCCCCTCAGCCCCTCCTCCCTCCCCCGGCCCCCCTCCCGGGCCCCCCCCCGTCTTGTCCTGCCCCTCCACCCTTCCTCCCCCCCCCCTTGCTGGGCCCCCCTCTGTTTTATCCTGCTCGCGTTCTTTCCTCTTTTCTTCCCGCCCCCCGGGCCGGCTCCACTGCCTTTTCTTCTTATGTTTCGTTCGCGTGCTTTGGCTTTTTCGGCCTCCCCCCGCGGGCCGGCTCCACTGCCTTTTCTTTTTATGTTTCGTTCGCGTGCTTTTCCCCCCACCCCGACCCTTCCTCCCTTCCCCGGCCCCCCTCCCCCCGGGCCTTCCCCCGGCCCCTTTTCCCACCCTTCCGTCTTGTCCTGCCCTCGCGTGTTTTTCCATTGCGACTTTTTCGTGCACTTCTTTTTGGCTTGTTTTCTTCCCCCCCCCCCCTTCCCCCCACCCTTCCTCCTCCGGCCCCCCCTTCCTCCTCCGGCTTCCCCTTGTTTTTTGTCTTCTGCCTGCTCGTTTTCTTTCACCTTTTCTTCTCTTTCGGCCTGCCTCCGGCTCCACTGTCTTTTCTTCTTAGGTTTTCGTTTGCGTGCTTCTTTCCTGCTTCCTCGTTGAAGCTCTCGTTTTGCTGTTTTGTTGCCCCGTTTTGCTGCATGTGTTTGCTCTACACTTGCCACACTTCTCCAAGTAGCCCTGACCCTGCAACTAATTTACACCTGCTTTAAGAGGCCCTTCGCAGTTTGGCCCCTGCTCTGCGCCCCTGCTGGCCCTACTGCAGTCGGCGGCCGAGGCGGGCTGCGTAGCATTAGAATTACAGGTTGGGGTTAAAAGGGTTAGGGGGGTTAAGGAGTGCGAAATCAAAAACTCACACGATGCAAGTTTCAGTCTCACTGAATAGGTAAATGACTTTAAAGATAAGGGTATTTGAAGATCACCGAAGCTCCGACTTTTGCTACACCTCCTAGGTCATTTCACGAAGTCGACGTTATCATGGTTGGCACATGGATGCTCTGCAGGCATGGGTGGAGTCTGATCTGGACGTTATCATGCGGCTTGGCACCCACGGATGCGGCACCCGCACCCGGATTGGGTCGGAGTGCGGCGTAAACGCTCGGCTCGAGGATACTCATGCTAATACCAATACTATCAATAAATACTAATTACAAACCCAAAACCCTAACCCGAAACCCGTCGACCGTGCGCGACGGGCACGCGTATCCCTAAACCCTAAGCCGTAAAACCCAACCGCCTCAACCCCAAACCCTAAACATAAACCGCAAAACCCCAAAGCCTAAAAGTCCCTGTACCCTATAATACTGCGCGCTATATAAGCTGATTGTATTTACCATCTAAGCCCGTAAACCGCACGCGCTGGGCGCGTGCAATCCTGAACCCCAAAGCATCCCAAAGCCCCAACAGCCTAAAGCTTCAACCCTAAATCAAAACCGTAAACCCCCAAACCCTAAACATCACCCGGTCGCACCTTCAGTTCCGGTAGTGGTAGAGGTCGTTGTCATTGTCGTTGTGGCGGTGGTGGTGGTGGTGGTGGTGGTTGTTGTGGCTCTTATGGTTGAGGTCGTCGTCGTCGTCGTGGTGGTCGTTGTCGTTGTCGTTGTTGCTGTTTTTGTTGTTGTTGTCGTTGGTACTGTTGTTGTTGTTGTTGCTGTTGTTGTTGTGTTGTTGTTGATGTTGCTACGGTCGTCGTCGCTGCCGTCGTCGTTGTCGTCGTGATCGTTGTCGTCATCGTTGTCGTTGTCGTTGTTGTTATTCTTGTTGTTGATGGTGGTGTCGTCGTCGTTGTTCTCGTTGTCGTTGTGGTCGTCGTCGCTGTTGTTATTATTATTCTCATTATTGGTGTTACCATTATCGTTCTTGCTAATGTGTTTGTTGTCGTCGTTATCGTTGTTGTTGTCTTTGTGCTCGTGATCGTGGCCGTCGTTGTTGTTGTTGTGGTGGTGGTGGTGGTGGTGGTGGTGGTGGTGGTGGTGGTGGTGGCTGTCGTTGTCGTCGTCGTCGTCGCTGTCGTCGTTATCGTTGCGATTGATCCTGTCGTTGTGGCTGTCGTACTCGTTCTGGTTGTCGTTGTTGTTGCTGTTGTTGGCGAACGGGTGCGACCTTGTAAATTACGAGGTCGCACCTGGTTGCACCCTTTGTTCCATCTTGTTACTATGCAGTACGCGGAGGCTCTTCGAGTGGTGGGGCACCCAACATTTTTCTGTCGAGTACAAACGCAGTACGCTGAACGCTGTTTCAGTGGTGGCACCCAAAGAACCGGGGTTTGCTTTTGGGGGTAAAAGGGCGTTTGGAACATCGCCCGACGCAAACCCCCATTCTCGGCTCGAGAACCGGGGCTTGCTTTGAAGGGTCCGGTAGTGGTACCGGTCGTTGTCGTTGCCGTTGTGGTTGTTATGGTTGTGGTCGTTGTTGTTGTTGTTGTTGGTGGTGGTGGTGGTGGTGGTGGTGGTGGTGGTGGTGGTGGTGTGCTTGTCGTTGTCGTCGTTGTCGTCGTGGTTGTTCTTGACGTTGTGGTTGTCGCAGTCGTTGTGTTTGTTGTGGTTGTTGTTGTTGCTGCTGCTGTTGTTGCCGTTGTCGCCGTCGCCGTTGTCGCCATTGCTGTACATGCATGCCGGCATATATACATATATATATATATATATGCATGTATATATATATAGATATATTCAGTTCTTTACAGGCATGTCTATTCACTCCATATCACAACTTTCTCTTAAATATGTATGTCTAGCCTCGGCTCGGTACACTCGGCTCTCTAGTTAAGTGTTATTTAAAACTTCAAAAAGTTTTTGGGCGTTGTCTCTCTTAGTCCTATATTGTGTTTGCGCTCCCCCCGAAGAGACTCTCTATCTATCTATCCAAGAAGAGCCTGATAAAACGCACGCGATTTTCAACTTCGCTTCCACGGCGGGGCCGCAGCGGGAGAGGTCTCCCCCCCTGCTCGCCCGGTGGCGAATATTTGCGATTTGCCCAAGAAAACAGAAGCCTGGCAAAATAGCAGGATTGCAAGATTCTTTCCACCCCCCCACCCCAGGAGAGGCCATAGAGCAGAGCTCAAGTGGGTCAAGTTGGGCAAGTGGGTCAAGATTGCAAGATTACAAGATTTGGGGGGGACCTACACGTTGCCGCATTACCAAGATTGCAAGATGGCAACTTGAGCAACTTTGAATAAATGTTCACCCCCCGGAAGGGGCAGCAAGATTGCAGGATCACCAAAATTTTACTCAATCTTGCACCACCCCAAGATGAGCAAGATTTCAAGTTGGACCAAGATGAGCGAAATTTTGGTCACAAACAGGCGGCTTCGTTTCCTCACACAACGCAGTAGGAATAGTACTAGTAGTAGTAGTAGTAGTAGTAGTAGTAGTAGTAGTAGTAGTAGTAGTAGTAGTAGTAGTAGTAGTAGCAGTTGTTGTTGTAGCAATATCTGCTAGCAGTTAACAGTTAGCAGTAGTAGTAGTAGTAGTAGTAGTAGTAGCAGTAGCAGTAGCAGTAGCAGTAGCAGTAGTAGTCGGAGTAGTGGTAGTGGTAGTGGTGGTAGTAGTAGTAGTAGTAGTGGCAGTAGTAGGTGCAGTAGTAGTAGCAGCAGCAGCCGTCGCAGCAGTGGTAGCAGCCGTCGTAGCAGTAGTGGTGGTGGTTAGTAGTAGTGGCGGTGGTAGTGGTAGTGGTAGTGGTGGTAGTAGTAGTAGTAGAAGTAGTAGTCGTAGTAGCCGTAGTAGCAGTAGTAGTAGCAGTAGAAGTAGTAGTCGTAGAAGTAGTAGTAGGAGTAGTAGTAGTAGTAGTAGTAGTAGTAGTAGTAGTAGTAGTAGTAGCAGCAGCGTACTAGCACCATCACTAGCACTAGAGCCCGTGCTCGAGCTAGTACTGGTGCTAGTAGTAGTAAAAGCAGCAGTGCGAGAAGACGTAGGTTTCGTCGTCATCGTGATCCCTTCTCGCAGGATCCCAGATATTAAACAGCAGCCGTAATCATATAAACACTTGTGGGCCAATCCTCCCGAAATCATCATAATTTGCATTGGGGGGGTTCAGGCGCAAGAGCAGGAGCAAGAAATGGAGCAACAGCAAGAGCAGGAGCAAAAGCAAGATCCCTCAAAGTGACACTAGCAATCACAACACCACTTTCCAAGTTTCACTATCGGGGGGCCGTCTAATGTTCCGGGGCGGCGATTAGAAGTGGTAGCACCAGTGGAACTTAATAGCACTTGAAGACATCGCATCGAGTCGTAGTCGAAACTCATAGTAGCAGCAGAAAAAGCAGCAGAAAAAGCAGCAGCAGCAGCAGCAGCGGCAGCGGCAGCAGCAGCAGCAGCAGCAGCAGTCATCCCCGCATCATTCACGGTACCCGTCGGGAGTCAGCCGCTCTACAGAGCAGGGTGACAGATGGCTTGGCTACAGACAACCGAATTGTCGTGCAGAAGCATTGTCACAACGGCATGCCGCGCCCGAGACACCCAGCATAATGTTAAGGTACTCTTACATCAAGATTGCCGTCCAAAAACTGTGACATACTGTGACCAGACACATGCGTTGCTTGCGGGTCCAGCCTGCTTCTGCCCGTTCTCTGGAACACGACTGCGCAGCCAACCGCAAAGGCTCCGTAACTCAGGTTCTCCGAGCTCCTTATTAGTGACAAGCTGTCGGCTGTTGGACGGCTGTTGGCACGGAATTCCGGTATTGAGAAATCGAATGCAAAAACAACGGAGAACTGCTGGGTCGGTGCATAGTGAGGCAGCTACTGGCCCGCAAACACCAGCAAGCAGTGCTACGACAAATCTCGGACGTTGAATAGCTGACCCACGAATCGAGACCCAGAAAGTCTTTCCCCACCAGCCCAGCCCACCACACCCGCTGTTTTGATAGATTCCGTGCCATATCAGGATGTTTGCTGTCACTGCGAGCGACGCTGAGGCGTGTGCAGGCCCCGAGTTCAGCAACCCCAACCTGCGAAAAATCCTCAAATCACGCACGTGGCGGGGCTCCGCAACGGAACCACTCTTCTTCAGTCTAGACTCGTGATTGCAAAACAGTTGCACTTTCTGCTTGGTCCTGTATGTCTTTCATCTAGTAGTCTATTCCCCCCAGCCCGCTCAACTAAACATCTGAGCTGTGCAAACCCCTTGCTTGCCACCGAACCGAAAATTTAACTGAATGCCGGAGTCAGACCTCCAGGTTCGGGAAGGAAACACACAGCAAACAGCAACAGCCGCGTCCTGCTTCGGACAGTGGATCAGCGCCCGGACGACTGCATAGTGGGCCTCGTGCTGGATTCAATTCACCGCCGCGCGGCAAGAAGCCAGTCTGGCATACCTCTGGCCTTGCCTGGGCAGCCTCTTGATCGGGAGGTTCTTCATCTTGCGTCGCAAGACTGAGAACAGCCTGCAATGCCGTGTCCCCGTCCGAATCCTTCGCCTGCAGTGACAATCCCATGTCTATGCCCTGTCGCTTGCGGTTCTAGTTGATCATGCCAGAACGCCTGTGGATCGGCACCGTGCTCAAGTAGCCGTGCCACTGCGGCATAGAGCCTTGAGTTCTATAACTTCAGATGCCGGTATCAAAACATCACACCGTGACACGCAGCCTCTTGCACCATATAAGACAGTCCAATTTATGGTCCTGCTACCAGATGCTGCCGATGCCTTCCCGGACTCCCGCGAGATGTGAAACATTGGCCGCTCTCAGTGAAGCAACTAAAAGGCTGATGCGGACAAAGTGGCTGCCCAGGATCTGTGGCCTCGTTCATGCAGGCATAATGTAGCGGCGGCATGTCGTCATCTGTGGTAGAGGTCCACTGTAAGGCCTGCGGCCTGCGGATGCGCTAAACCCTTGCAATCACCCCGCCGTCACATGCACATGAGCAAGACTAGTAGCAACCAAGCTGCGGAATCTGCAAGAGCCATTTGTTGATAGTTTCCGGCTCCAGCGGGCTATCTTGAATGTATGCTGCCTGTGCAAAGCCACTTTGCCAGACCATTAGAAACAGGTCAGAGCAGTATACCCGTTGCACTCTGCACATCCCGACCTGGACCAGAACGAAAACGATCTATCCGAACTCCTTTCACCACTTTCATACCCGTACATGGTAGGCGGGGCACCTGCAAGTATTCCACCAATTCTGCAGTAGCCCCTTGTGCTTCCATTGCATCGGGTCGAAGGCCACTGACGAGGAAATATCAGGGGGCTGTCTAGATTGGCCTGAAGGAGCATACGTGATGCTGCATGGTCCTCTCGCGGGGACTAAAATCAGACGGGCCATATGTATTACGTGATAGGCATGTAACAGCCCTGCCGAAGGCAGACATTGTACTGGGGCTACTGTGGAGCTCGGTGACTAATCCATCTATCAGCACGTTCGCTCGAGACCTTGCCAAGCTTCTCCATGAAGATATTCCACACGTTCAATGGTGGAAGTCATGCATTCTGGCAGCAACCGAGAGGAACTGGGAATCTGACAGTAGCTCACCAGCAGCAATGGGCTCGAGTGCTCTGGCACAACAGCCCTGACCGTGTCGAGTCGTTGAAGGTATAGGACCGCAATGCCGGACCCGAAGCTCGAAGAGTTGTGCACGGCGTACAGGTGCACGACCCACACATTTTGCTCGTGGTTGCAGACGTGCATAGCATAAACCAACAGACGAGTCCTGCCGTGTGTGCTACTTTACGGCAGCCTGCAGGGTCCTTGGACGCTGAAGCATGGCCGATCGCTGGTGAACCGTTAGGGGCCAATGCTTACACAACTGTGAAGAAAATATCGTCTCTGACTTCTCCCTACGCACTGCCGGAAGCCGAACATAGCCGCACCAGAATCGACCACTCGGCCTGGCTTGGCGGGGCGGACGGCGAGAAAAAGTCGACCTGGTCTGCTTGGTCGCTGCCCGTTGCTGCGAGCTCTGGTTTTCAGGCGTCCCCCACAGCCTTCGGCGAGGCCTTCAAATTGTGCAGGCGTGCCCAAGCCATCATTCCCTGGCAACAAAACGGCATGAATATCCATGTATCCATGAGTCCATGGGATGTCCATGAGTGTATGTACATGTAAGCATTCCGTCAGTCCAGTGCTCCCTGCACTCATTCACTTTGCTTTGTTGCTCGCTACCATGTCCGGTAAGTTTCAGTGCAGCTGTCCCGTCATGCTCAAACCACGACTGTGACAAGTGCACCTCGCCATGAGGTCCGCCATGAGGCGACATTCTCATTACTAAGCGGCTTGATACGGTAGATGCTAGGATTGGAGTGAGTAGGAGTGACCTACCTTGGTTCCACTTCTACGAAGCCTTTGCTGCAGACAATTCGACCAGCTTCATGATCTTCCGTCATGTGTTGTGCTACCTGCATGCTGCAAAACTAAGCCTCGGCGGAGCCGCACAAAGCACCGAGCTTGCGCCGCCCGGCAGAGTACAAGCAAGAGCCCTCGATCTCAACATGAGCTCTCCTCCCTCTTTCTCTGCACAGCTTGGGCAATCCCTCCGTCAAACCTCCGTCAGCATCCCTTCCGGCTCCGCATGCATGCCTGGGCCGCCTGGGCCTTGCTCGGAGTTCTCCGCATGCCACTCGGGAATGCGAGTGCACTCGGACGGGTGGACCACCAGAGGTTGCCATTTCCTTCGTGCGGCCTCGTCCATCTCCAGCCACTCCCTCGCCTCCGCGAGCTCTGCTTCCTCTGCTGCATCTTCTTGCGCCGTCGGGCGCGGGCACTCCAGCGGGAAGGCCTTTCCAGGTACAGTAGCGAGAATTAACACCCCAGGAATGAACACTAGGATATCTAACACGTGGAATGCCTCCAAAAAACGACTGGAGAAAGGCCTGATGCAGCCATTTCCGAAAGCCTGGCGAATGCAGAACGACTGCACCGGTGTCGTCCACGAGAATTTTCAGGCTCTCCTGGAGCTCCGAAGCGGTCGAGTTGTCACGGAGACGGCCGACTGCTTGCATTATTTGCGCAACCGGGGCTGCAGGAGCTTGCAAAATCATCTCGAATTGGCTCAAAACTGTCTCGCACTGGTTAAGGCAACAGACCGCGAAGTACTCAGATGATGCGATGCAGTTGGAGGGTCCCAGCAAGTAGTTTGCAATGAGCACATACTTCTCACCGTCCTCTTCCACTAGTATGCCTGCCTTTGCCAAATAGTCCTCTTTTTCCGTGAACTGGTAATGCGGATGTTTGGGCGATCCATGGAAGTCCTGCAGCTTCACCCGCCCAGCCCCTGTGTCCATCTTCATCAAGGTTGACTTCATGTCTTCGCATTCTGACTGCTGCCAGTGCCCGTATCGCGTAGCAATAAGTTCCACGGCTTCGCGAGCCTGTGCCCACGAGATCGTCCCAGGATCGTGGATAACCTCATTTAGAGCCTGGACTTCGAACTGTGACAGCAAAGGCCAATCTGCAGTCTTCTTCGCTCGCTGCTTCAGACGCTGGTGGGACTCGGAGTCTGTCAGATTCCTTGGCAGCCCGTGCCGGAACAGAAGCAGGTAGGAGAGAAGAACCTCATGAACCTGTGACTCTGCCACAGGTGGCGGCAGACGTTCAGCAGGGTCCACATTGTCCAGTCCATTGAGGAAGTATGATGCACGCAGCAGGGGCAGTGACTCTTCCAGGAGCAGCTGCTCCAATGCAGCGACAGTGCGAGAGATGTCTCCCAGGGAAAGCCCAGCTGAAACCGCAACGGGACTGAGAGCTGTGTCTTTCAAAGCTCTTGCGAGCTCCGGCGCTTTGTCTTTGAGAATCTGAACCTCGTACAAGCCACCCCCGGTGACTGGCAGTCGTGCATCTTGATGCGACTCTCCAGGAGCGATGACAGGTGCTCCGGGAGATTCCAAGCCACGAACCAGCCAACCGTGTTCCTTGGAAAAGTAGGCTCTCGTGAGGGCCGGTAAGACCTGATGCGGTGGCACGTTTCCCCGTGCGTCCTTGGGAAAGGCCTCGTAGCTTGCACGCAAGCTTTCCTCCACATGTAGCAAGCGATCTGCAGAAACTTCCACAAGCCCCTGCCGCAATCCTGCTTGCAGCATATGATGTACAGTCACTGCTGCTTTTGGCTTGTCCCTGCGCATCATCTGCGCCGAAGCCATCGCCACTATGGCTGCAATGACCCATGTCCACCTGCTTGCGCCCAAGCACAGTGCTGCGACTGGCTTGCTAATCAGCTTAGAAAACCGAGCCTCCACAATGCCATGCTGAGCTGACCTGAGGCAGCATCGGCAACGGAAAGGCATGCATCTGCAGTGCTGATCCTTTGCAGGATCCTAAGGCCGTCACTCGAAGTGAAAGAGTGAGTGCTTGCAGGCACTTCACCCAAAGACCTGACAAGAAGAAGAAGAAGAAGCCTGGAGCCAGAGCAGCAGCAAAAGCAGGCAGTCCATCTTGATGGAAGCGAACCGCCACAAATTCATGCACGTTCAAACTCGCCCGCATAATGAACACACTTCTTAGCGATCGCGTGGGATCTCACTTTTCTGATTCACAGACGATGTTGCTCAGCTCAAAGCAGTCGACCTATGACACTATATGGCCGCTCAGGGTTCACTGTCATTGTCCGCAATGTCTGTCATGTCGTATCGCTGAAGGGATAAGGCTCATGTTGAAACCGGCTCCTGATATTCTTCACTCTCCGATGGCGCGCTGGTCTTCATCCCGGGCCCCTCCACCAAAGACAGTGCCATGCAAGGCATCGTAGCCCGTAGGCCAGTTGATCATGCCACCCGTGTTCCAAACCTCGTTGCCTTTCTCCAAGAGGGCAAAATCGAAGACATCCTTCACGTCAGGATCAATGGGATTGATCTCCACGCCCTCTTCTGGCAGCTCGTACAGCACTCTGACCAACATAAAGATTTGGTCGCATTCGCCGCATCGGTAAAGGAAGCCTTCACGACAGCGGAACCACAAAGGGACATGCTCATTGTCCCCAGTGCCACCTGTGCAGCCGACAATTCTCTCAGTGTGGATGGCGGGGACTAGCACTGGGTTTTCGATAGTGCCAAAGGGTCCGATGAACGGGGACGACTTGAGGTACTCGTACAACTCAATGATGCCGAGGAGATTCTCCGCCTGTTCATTCACGATGGTGAGGCCCATGTCACGGCAGAGTTGCTTGTAGGACTTCTTCGGCAAGTTCTCAGGATCCATCATTGTGCTTTCAGCGCGGATCCGCCAGTACCAGTACGCATCGATGAAGCCCAGGTTGTAGGGATTGCTTGCCATAAGAGATTTCACATCCTTCGGCATTGACTCTGAGTTCAACTCAAAATCCTCAGGTAGCACACGCCACCAATGGCGGTAGCCACGTCTTGCTTCAAGCTGGCATCCTGCAGTAGCAGGCACTGCCGGCTGCCAACTTTGCGGCTTTGGAGTCAGCCTGGCCGCCCCACTCAGCACGCGGCGAGCGGCGCTCAGCATCGCTGCCACCGGCCCCTTCTACGACCAGGGGGCGCTCAATCAATGGGGCAACTGGCTGCGGCACAGGGATCATCGTTCTGCTGTCCTGCATGTTTTTGGCACTACGTTCGACTCTTGGTGAGCGTGAAGATTCGTTGCGACCTTTTCCTCTGCTCACCTCAGTATCAATATCCACCTATGACTTGTGCAACACATCCTTCTCAGATTCTCCTTCTAAAGATTGAAAAACTCAATGACAACAGGAAGATTTCAGGAGGAGTCAACAGATGGCTCTACCAATCAATCAGTGCTGAATCAACTCACAGGGTGAGAAAGTGCATTTGGGCGTTGCACCATCATCTTCACTCTCCGATGGCGCGCTGGTCTTCATCCCGGGCCCCTCCACCAAAGACAGTGCCATGCAAGGCATCGTAGCCCGTAGGCCAGTTGATCATGCCACCCGTGTTCCAAACCTCGTTGCCTTTCTCCAAGAGGGCAAAATCGAAGACATCCTTCACGTCAGGATCAATGGGATTGATCTCCACGCCCTCTTCTGGCAGCTCGTACAGCACTCTGACCAACATAAAGATTTGGTCGCATTCGCCGCATCGGTAAAGGAAGCCTTCACGACAGCGGAACCACAAAGGGACATGCTCATTGTCCCCAGTGCCACCTGTGCAGCCGACAATTCTCTCAGTGTGGATGGCGGGGACTAGCACTGGGTTTTCGATAGTGCCAAAGGGTCCGATGAACGGGGACGACTTGAGGTACTCGTACAACTCAATGATGCCGAGGAGATTCTCCGCCTGTTCATTCACGATGGTGAGGCCCATGTCACGGCAGAGTTGCTTGTAGGACTTCTTCGGCAAGTTCTCAGGATCCATCATTGTGCTTTCAGCGCGGATCCGCCAGTACCAGTACGCATCGATGAAGCCCAGGTTGTAGGGATTGCTTGCCATAAGAGATTTCACATCCTTCGGCATTGACTCTGAGTTCAACTCAAAATCCTCAGGTAGCACACGCCACCAATGGCGGTAGCCACGTCTTGCTTCAAGCTGGCATCCTGCAGTAGCAGGCACTGCCGGCTGCCAACTTTGCGGCTTTGGAGTCAGCCTGGCCGCCCCACTCAGCACGCGGCGAGCGGCGCTCAGCATCGCTGCCACCGGCCCCTTCTACGACCAGGGGGCGCTCAATCAATGGGGCAACTGGCTGCGGCACAGGGATCATCATGCTTCATGACCACTGCTGACTGCGCCCTAACCTCGGTTGGTCTTCAGAAGCCCTGGAACACAGCAAACCGCGCTGGTGCAGTGGCATTTTCCTCACACATCGCTGTTGAGGCGAAGCCGCGGACCACAGTGGCATTGCCTGGTTTGCTGTGCACCAGGAGTTAAAACTCGTCAGACTTCTTCACCTTCAAACTCAGGGAGGCGGCTGAAGCATAGCACATGCATTGCACACTGCTGTAACCTGCAAGAGCAAGGCCTACCTTCTTGCATTTCGTCGGCTTCTTCCATCCTTTCTTCACTTTGCCCAGATGGCCCTGAGCCGTTTCACAGTTGCAGGATGTTGCAGGGATCAGGGACGGCAACAAGTAGCAAGCAGCAGCCATGTCGCCGCCGTTGTTGCGTTATCTTGTGGCCAAATGGTGGTAACTATTGACTATGCTAACTGCTCACTGATCCCAGAAAGCATGCCGAGTCGCTCCATTGGGTTCGTAGCCCCAGCTGCAGTCAGCAAAGGTGGTCGCTACCTGGTGCTCCTCGCACTTCGCACACCGACCGCGAAGGGGAGTCTTCTGAAGCTCCTTGTCATCGCAGCTCGCTGCGTCGAAGGCTGCAGGCCGCCAATACCTGTGCTTGGTCGGACTGCAGAGAAATCCAAAACGAACAAGCAGCAGAGCTCGAAATGAGCAAGTCGCCACACATGGACATTGATTGAACGCCCCTTCTGCGCGGTGACCTGATGATACCTGCAATGAAAAAAACCACTGCTCTACAGCAGGGGTCTGCACCTTGGACCGAGGAGCCGGCCACTGGAACGGGATGTAGAGGCCTTAGCCGGCTTTCGTCGGAACAACTGAACTTGTCGAGGATTCAGTCACACTCTGGGGGTGTTGTGTCTCACCGTCATGTAAACGCACATGCGCGCAGGTCATACAGCTTGCCAATGGTGTTGTTGCAAGCGGCATGTCTAAACAGCTAACACGGGGAATGCTGTTTGTCACTTGACTTGCTTCTTCTTCTTCTGGGCGCTTGCAGAAGCTTTGCATCAAAGCATAAATCGACTAGTTGCAGTTATCCGAACATGCCAGCTGACCCCATTGACCCAGCGGATCGCAAGCGGTCCTGGTGTTGCACTGTGTTGAGCCTGTGTGTCTGCGGCTCAGGGGATCCGAGCCCTCTCCCGAGCCTTTCGACTGGTCAATTTTCTCGTGTATGCGTGTTTTGTCCCGCCCTAGGGCTGTCGAGTCTTTGCATTTTGCCAACGTTTTGAGCGAAATGGAGTAAGTAAAATGTCACTGCCACGGAGCACATGCCTACCGCCTGCCTGGACATGCATGGAGTGGCGATGCACGAAGTCTGAGGGTGCGTACTCCTGTCTCCCACTCCATGTTTCTCCAGTGGCGGCGGGCATCATGTTTTGTGGGCCGAGGTGCAGTCACCCGGACGTAAGTCGGCATAGCTCCATTGGACATCCACCCAGCCGGGATACCTAGCCACAAGAGCGAAGCGATCGGGCCCATATCAATGACGCCTGCCTCGAGTGCGCACTTCACCAAATCCATCTTGTCGACATCGATCTTGCCCATGAAAGCACCATAACCGGGTACTGACCTGTCAAAGGTGCTTTGCCTGGTCCTTACACTTTCTTGATACATGCCCATGTCATTAGCGGGCCACGAGAGATTTTAACCTGCGCCCATAGCCACAGCATCGCGACGACACTCGATACTCACACGATGCCGTCACGGACGCCTGTCTCTCTGCTTACGGAGAGAGGGCGCAAAATTCAAAGCACGGCCAGTCAGAGCTTGCTGGCAAAGTCACGGAACTCGGCAGCAGCCTCCTGGTTTACGAAATCGACATGCGTGCTTCATTTTCATCTCTGGAACCGATTTCCCCGCAGTCTCCACCTTGCCTTGGAAGCTGCCGTCAGCATCTGCATGTCGCTTCCGACTGCGACGAACTGGCAGCCACACCTACTTCGAAACAACAAAACACTGTCAACGCACGAAGTCACTGAGGCGAGAGCTTCAAAGCCCACTTTGCATCGCTCTTGTTGGCAGTCAGGAAGCCGGCTGCCTCGAATCTGTGAGTTTTGGGGGTCTCGAGAGACGATGAAAGTCCAAGCCTTGCCGGTGGCCACGATGCGCGAAAAAGCTTGTTCAATCAGCTGCTTCACCTGCAAAGGCGAAGCTTGACGGAGCTGCACGTTGATGCAGCAATCCTGCAATCCTTGCTTTGAGCATGGTCAGCTTTCAGCCAAAGACCCTAAGCCGCTCTCCAGACTTCCCTGGCTCTCATAGTTTCATCGTGTCTGACCAGAGCATACCAGAGCCGTAGCCACACCCGGGAGTATGAGGGCTTCTTGCTCACGACACCTCCGGATGCTGCGGCTGGCCAATAAAGCCTCACATTGGCACATGGATATGGAACTGCGGCTGCAGCACAAGCTCAACTGAGAAGCCAGACATGTCTCAACTTGGGCACCACAAGAAGCAGCACCAGAATCCCCTCACACTGAGTCTGGATACCCATTGAAGCGGAGAGGTCGCTGGGCCCGACAAACAGCGCATCTACACCGTCCACGGATGCAATGGCCTCTGCGAATGTGGAAGCGCTTCAGCTGGGCTACAAGGTGGTGCTTTTTCTCTTCAGATGGGCACCGGCCTCGATGTTCTGGACAGCCTGTTTCCAGAAGCTTCTCTAAGCATCTTCGGCTGCATCTCACGGTTGCCTCCAAGGTCTCAATCTGCATGATGTTACCTTTGAAGAACAGCTACGCGTGACACATTGCGATAGCGAAGTAGCCTCGAACTGCCTACAGCCGCACTGCAGTCAAGCAAAAACCCAAATTCAAAAAGTGCGGAAGCGGTGCAGATCTGTGTACCGGCCTCCTCAGGAGCAGAAAATTTGATTGCAAGGGTCTGAAAAGACTTCACTGCTCGTGCCTTACAACTCGCGTTCTGAAACATAGTACCCTATTTTAGAGTCGGAGCTCCTTGTAGTAGTGAGGATTCTGGGCTCCGTAGTTGTTCATCCGCGCTAAGCTCATCACCTGGCGCAGCGTGCTCAGCGCACGGGTACTCTAGGGCTGAGCTTGAACGGCCCAAACGGGCCGAGCCACTCCGCGAATGCCGCCCAAACTGGGATACCGAGTCGCCTCCATAAGCCAAGCAAGCCGCAGCCCGCAACATCTACGTACGACATGGACTTGGGCGGCCACAGGATGCCTCAACTGCTGCCTTAGCCTCTTCGGCCGTGTTGATCCAAGGGAAAATTAGGCCTGGGACTTCAGTTCATTTCAGCCGACAGGCATTTGAAGATGCAGCGGCCGGCAACGATCTTTCAGCCAGTGTGCTTTGAGCTCCAAGGTCCAGCACCTGCGAAAAGTACGGTCGGCACTGAGTTTCCAGGCTTTCACGGCGGTCTTCTCGTGTTTGGCTCAGGACCGGTTACCATTTCCGATTGCAGCTGCGGCACGCGCTTGATAACAACAGGCTCCGCCCATGGCACACGCACAACAGGTTCGGCCTCACCTCGCTGTGAGGCCTGGACCGAGAAGCGCGTCATATGACGAAACTGACACATTTTGATCTGGCCTGGAGCTGAAGTAGCACATCGGCCAATTCGTTCGGAGAGTGCTCCATGTCGATGACAAACCAGTCCTCTCAAGGATGCACCAAAACTCCAAACGGTCAAACCCTGGACAGGCATATTCTAACCGGTACATACCGGTAATGCCTGGTGCTAGTTGCTAGTAGCTAGTATGGTCGGTCGTCGGTCCATACCAGAGACGTGGGACAGCATCTCTGCCACAAGCCTCTTGCCAGAGTTCCAGAGGCTTCGTTTCCGGGTGAACTTACAGTGCGTCTCAGGACACAGGCAACTCAAGGCCACGAGTACACAGGGGACCTCACAACGTTTGTTCGCGATCTTGCTGTGTGAGCAGCGTCGTGTACAGTATGCATGCTTCACGTACGTCTCTTCCTGTTATGTGTTCTGCTGATCCAGTCAATCCTGATGGTATGCATAATGGTAAAAGCATGTTTACACTCGTGTCATTCCTGCCAGTATGATTTCTGCGAGTATTCGCACGAAAGTTTGTGGACGGTATGTGCCTCTTTTCCTGCATACTTTCGGTTTACCAGCTTGGAAGCATGAGCCTGTCAATGGCCCTCAATCGGCCGTTGTTGCCGCTGCCAGAAACCGCAGCAACCTTCCGTTGAAAATTGCAAGTGCTGCTCTTCAGCGTCATCCGCTAGCACCTTGCCGGCAATGCTGCCTCTTCAAAAATGTGAAAACCGGCAAGGCTCTAGGACCTAGGAGGTTTCTGATGAGGTGTATATTTGCATCTTAAAATGGGCATGCGAGTAAACAGACGATGCAGACTCGGCATGTAAAACAGAGGGAAATAGGGAGGGCGGAGGCCGTGTGAGAATTTGCACCGTAACATAGGCACTAATGTTGGCCAGGGGGCGTGCTTCGAATGCCGGTCCAGAGGCCAATTTGTCTGGCCCCGCCTGCGAGGCCCTGCAGAGTGAAACTTTACGTACACTTTACACGACTCCGCCACCAAAGAGTGCAGGGCCGTGCAGGATCCACATCGTTTCAGGCAGTTGACCGGGCCCCCATGCACATCTCGCGACAAACTGCAAAGCAGCGACACCTATCCTATGAGATAACGTTTAGCGAGAGGACCACATACAGCAATTGCCAGCACGAACGTTTCAAAGCTTGGACGCACGGGTCAAACCTACGACAGTGTAACTTGCACAGTGGGCTGTGGGCCTTGAACCCTCGCTCGTGCGAAGTCTGGCGCACTGTGTGTCGTATATCGTGGCAGAGCACATCTCCGGTCAAAGCAGCTGCTTCTGCATCCATTTTTTCTCGGCTGCCTTGGCCTCATAACTTATAAACCTCAGGCCCCCCCATTCAGATTCTGGGTTTCGTCCGAGAATCGGACTTCTTTGGTGCTTGAGAGCCTCGGTAGCCTCTGGAGCCACCGCAAGAGCGGCGCTGCGTCAGAGTCCGGTATGGAGTGGGCCCGCCGGGGCCCCCGTGCTCACAACTGAAGCTTAGCACGGTTGCAGGCCCGGGCCGCCTTCTTGAAGAGGTTCTGCCTTACCTGAGAACTGCGCGGCTAAAGTTCCAAGATGTTCCAAGAGTGAGTGCTAAGTCTTAAGTGACCGACCTAGTGACCTTAGGACTACAGCCTCAGACAGGCATAGTGCAGCCCGCAGGCCCTGGTCGGGTCTGAGGCAAAGCCGCGTCGCACCAGAGCAGAAGTCGAAGGATCAAGCAAACTGCTGGGAAGAAGTGGCACCTGACACCACAGGCCATGTGCCTTGCACGGCTGAATCACCAAAGCAGAGGACCTTCGACATTTCAGCGGACTTTGGCAAACTTTGGCCAGCAGCCCGCAAGGCTCTGTACATCGCCGTCGCTATCATTCCAGCCACCCGGCTGCAGATCGTTTATAGAGAGTTGCTGAACGCAGCAACGAGCCACTAATCTGCATGCAGGACACTTCCAGCTCCTGCCTGTCCAGGTCGGTGTCCACCCAGCCGAAGCGATTTTTCTTTGTGTTTGGATGTGCCTGGCACGGTGGCTCAGAGGCCTCGAGGTGCCTCGAGTCTCCGAGCTCGAGGTGTAAGCGATTGCCACACACATGCTGATTTGTTCCACGCTGCTGTACCCGGGACCTGACCGCCAAGCAGGGTGGATAGAGGATTAGAGTGTTTATTTACTGTGACATAAGTTCTTCAGAAGTGACACTTGAACGACAGATTACGGCGACATTGCAGCTCAGAAGGCGCGCCAGAAACACATAAATTGCAAATCGCAATGTGCCTCTTGCCGAACCGTTAGAAAAGCAACACATGTGCCTACAAATCAAACATATTATTTAATTGACCGAACCGAAATGTACAGCAAAATTGCACGCCTCCCCACCCTTTCCGTCTTCCCGGTCCCAACACTCCCGGCCCCTCTTCCCACCTGCCGCCTCCCTTCTCCACCCCCCACCTCCCACCTCCATGCCACCTCCCACTCTCGCCACCTGCCACCCTCCCAGCCACCTCGCAAGAGTAGTGGGAGGAGAGTAGGGCTCGAGAGGGCAACAATCGCACACCGCACAGCAGAAGTAGGAATCGATCGAACGCCCGATGACTCAGCCGCTCGAGTGCACAAGCGGTTAGGCTGTTAGGCTAGGCGATGCTAGGTGGCTAAGCAGCTAAGCCCTGGCCCTACCGCGAAGCTGCACACGACTAGAGCCTGGAGTCGGCGACCAGTACACGCTTTCGATTTCACAGGGTACACCTCCCTAGCGCCTTCTTGCTTCGTTGCGCCAGGTAAACTTGATGGGCCTGACGCCTTACAAGTAGTATCCTCGCTTCTGAGAAACAGGTTCAACACAAACACAGATTAACAGAGAGAGACACACACACACACACTCTCGCGTGCATGCATGCAAGCACCGAAAACCGACGAAAATGCTGCATCAGATTGTAGGATCCCTGCCTCAAAGGCTTCTTTGTATGACGGGTGCATGAACACAAAGCGCTTTTCCCCCGCGATCATGCAGTTGATGTTGTCCTGTCACTTGCCTAGGGCCCTGCCAGGGCTACGGATTTACGACGGACTCTTGCATCGTGCATTCGGTCTATTCAGTGAAGCTTGAGTCCTGGTCATCGTAGTGGACCTGAGCCGACAAATGCGTCACAAACCAGACAGCACACGGACAATATTTTCTACTGGCAGTTGTCGGGGCACAGGCCACAGATTTGCTGCCCCCACGGCCCATCCAGAAGTTGTTCGTGTCCAAGAAACTCAGGTACCTGGCCAGCTCTGCTCATCGCCAGCCGCTAGTATCTCCATTCCGACAAAAACGAAAAGCTGGGCATGATCACCCGCCGCACCGGAGGCATGGTAGAAACTCAACCTCCTTCATCATCTTCTTCGGGACCTCGGAGGCTGCGGAAGCATACGCAAAGTGCAAGCACTGTGCCCCTGCTTCACGGGCGATGCCGATCTGGTTGAGGGCTGGTCTCCCGAAACCATGTAAATATCAGTTGTGTTGTACCTTCGCAAGCTCCCGACTACAGGTGCAACGGTGCAACAGTGGGCCCAAAGGGTCACTGACCCAAGAAGTCTCGGAGCTTCACCATGCCATCTACCTGACAGAGTGCTCAGGAGTGTTAAAACCGGGCCGCAAGGACCCTCTTCGGCAAGTTTCCTCTCTGCCTCGTGCCTGACCGCCCGTTCTTGTCTCCTTCAGATTGTGCTCAACGCCAGATATCCGCTCAGATCCGAACCTGCGGAGCAAAGCCGGGGAGGCGGGGGCAGGTGCAGGCCATTGCAGGCCGCAAGCCGCAAGCCCTTGCTGGAATCCCAAATCGCAATGTTTGCCCAATAAATCCTTGCTGGAAACAGATACCTGTGCCCAATTGGAGAGTCACCCATGAATGGATCCCTGAATCTCCCTAAGAAACTCCCTGATATCTGGCCTTTCAAGCATGTACTCGTCGGAGCTCCACTTCATGGCCTTCCTGCGCAGATAGTGCACTGCACCGGAGTGCTTGAAACCCGCGCCGGTCGTCTTTCTTGCTGCTAAAGCTCCAAGCAGCTGCTGCACCTCGAAACACCACGGGCCTCAGCACACAGCAACTGAGATGCACTAGCCGCAAGACTTAGGACTTAGGCGCTTAGAGACTCAGGTCGGCCTGCCGCTGCCGTTGTCAGAGGTGCAGTACCTGCACTCCGCACAGAACATGTAACTGAGCACTGCTCCGTTGTCTGCATGTCAGGGCCCCCACTCTTTGTAAAACTCCTCAGGCCCGGGAACATCATTCCGCTCCTTGCAAGACACCGCCATCAACCCATACTAAGAGGTCACCGAGAGTCCAGTGTTGGCATGCCCGAGCATCAATCTGAATGCTCTGGACTCCGTTTTGCGTTGGACTGCCGGAAACTCCGCTGTGCAAATGCCTACAACAGTCAACTGCAGCACGCCTTCTCAAAGTAGGAAATAAACGGGCAGATGCCACTCTAGGGCTATGTACAGCGGCCACTCTACTGAGATGAAGCACCTTACCAGTGTAGCGGCCATGACCCATGTTCTCGTAGATGTTTTGTCTTCGCTTCATCTCGGATCAGACTACGAGTCTGAGTCTCCGCTCTCAGCGTGCCGGCTTACTGATTTTCGCAACGCCTCAGACAGGATTCGTCGCATCGATACAGTGGCAACTCGGCATAGCACGACATAGCAACGGTTCGAATGACTCACGCACTGCCAGGAACCTTTTGTGCACAAGGAGCTGGCCGTCAAGCACGAAGTCAAGGCTTTGCTGGCCTTCATTCTCCTGGCCCTCCCCGCGTCCATGCAAGTCCAACCGAATTCTGGAGAGCAGTGGGCAGTGCTTCTACTGCAACCGGATGCAACCGGTTGACAGAACACTCGCTGAGCTGCTGAACACTGCTTTCCAACAGAGATCCGAGCTACCTAGCTACTCCGAGAAGTGGTCCTTACCGACGGTCCATGGATCCTCGGCTCGCCTGCGACAGCCTGCGTTTTTCAACGTAAGGCAAGAATTTTCGGTTGCCGACTTGCTTCTGATCTTTGCAGCATACCAGATGACTTGTCGGAAGGACGAGTTCTGAATGAAGGTGTGCCTTTAGCTGCATCCCGCAATTCGATGCAAACTTTGGCTCCTTTGTGAGCACCGTACTTCGTGCGCACAGAAGGGGCAAGTTAGATTCAGAAAAGACTGCTAAGAAGCGCTCCACCGTGCCAGCTGCACTTTCATCACTTGAGATCTACTTCGTAGCATGAAGTCCAGCTGGCGGCTTCTACATTGACTAGGCTAGCCTCCGCGGGCTTCTCAAAGATACATTGACGACCAGCCGTCAAGGTTGGGTTTGTTCTAGGTTGAGCAACGTCGGATACCTGGCGATTTCAGCAAAACAAACAACATGTCCTTCCCATCGTGACCTTGACGGCACGTTAAGACGAAGTTGGCCAGAAGTGTCCCGCTGGTTGCAAGATCCAACTGGCCAGCTCGCCGCACAACCCACATTCAAGGCATAAAGATTTGCATCCTCTCACTGATACTGCCCCGACAGATGGGACATTGGCTGCGCTCCGCGTAACTTTGCCTGCGAACAGCGTCAGGTACCCAATGCAGCCCTCCTGCTACGATACAAAGCTCTTCGGCACAGATAGTTCAGTGCAGTCCAGCTGCTGGCTGCAAAACCTGAGCAGCAACTCCGGTCACTGGGCAAGCAGAGCTCCCTCGCAGCATGCGGTATTAAGGCGAAACCAAGGCATCAACGAGCACAGGGCGAGATGTTTGCACGGAAGGCAGACGACCTTGTCTCGAACACCAGCGATAAATGCCTGTAAAAGCCACATTGCCTGTTGGATGGCCACTGGTCGTACGTGACTCGCAAGGCCGAGCGACATTGGCCAAGTTTTCCATGCAAATGACCTCTGAAGCACTCTGGCAAGCGGCAAGCATACAGTCAAAGCGAAGACTCTGCCAAAAAGAGTGGCATCTTGCACTTTCGGCCGCGTGGCACACGAAGCTTGGCCATGACGCTGCGACTGCTCCATGGCCTGCCAGGTGGCCATACATGCGAGACTAACCTATGCTAATATTCCACGATTGAATATTTGCGATTACCCTTCACTGCGTGCCGCAGTATAGAACGAAACTTACTTGCTCCACTACTTGTCCACCTGAGCTGGATGCGGCCACATCGAATTCGAAGCTCGCTAGCCCCACAGCTGAGGGCCTGCATCCTCTCCTGGAGCTCCAAGTTCTCCGAGTTTAATGCATCCTGGCTGTTCCGCGGTGGACTGTGGCGAGATACTTCACAGATTTTTTCGGTCCTTCAGCATCAGCAACGCAGCCAGCTGCTGGTGCAATCCGACAATCTCGCGATCGCGCCCTCTCAGCACTTGCGAGGAACGTCAGGTCAGACCAGCGCCGCGTCTAAAGAACCTGCCTTCCCCCGATGCCTGCACAAAGGTGTCTGACTGCGATTCCTGTCGCCCGTAGAATGTTCTGCACGAGTGGAACTTGAGAAGAACTCGGAGCAACCCCGAGAAGAGGGCAGAGGGCACCTCGAAGAGTGCTTTGTACTGCTCCTTCTGCGCCTCTGCCGTCCGCACCCTTGCCTCCATGTTCTCCACCTGACGCGGTGGCTAAGCCGCCCGCTTGCCCAGGAGGCGCTGGCTCGCTTTTGGCTTGCCTGACGCTCCAACTCCCGCTTCTTCTGGCGCAGCCACTCGATATTCTTGATCAAGTAGGCGCCCTCCTAGAGTCTGAGCAAAGCACAGCAGCAGCTAGCAACGTCACTTGTGGTCGCTACTTGAGCCGCTCCTCCACCGCAAGGAACTTTGTCTCTGACCCCTGACACTATCCACATGAAAGCAAAGCTGCCAGTGAGTTCCCGTGCCTCACTCGTACTGTCGGACTGCGTGTCCGGCAGCCGAACTCCTCCGAGTTAAAGGCTGGCGGCTGGCACTTCTTAGAGGGTGCACAAAGGTCCCGCTCAACGAGAAAGAGTTTGCAAACTCAGACGGCACCTTGAAAGCAAGCAGCAGGTAGGAAGGCTCCTGGCGCATCCTGAACGAGTCTTGGAAACCGTACTCTGCATTCTTCACCATCATCATAATCGACATCATTCATCTGCATTCATTCTTCTATGACACTTTCTGAAGACGACGTCACTTTCTCTTTCTTCTGCACAGGCTTCTTTCCATGCTTTTGGGAGCCGCTTGGCAGGGCCCAGGGGCAGGCGTCTCTTCCAGCACTAGACTACCCCATCCCGCTGTACCGCTGCTAAGTTATATACTACCACTCAAGCCGCAGGGCGTCGCAGTGCCATCCCATGCGATACGGTTCCCGGAAGTGCGAGTGGAACCAGAACGCCGTGGTCTGTTCTTGCTTCCGGTACAGCAATCCATCATCATTGCGGCCCTTGTAGTTGCATTTGCAGATCGGCACAGCCTTCGTTCCCAGAATCGTCAGACATCGCCAGGCACAGCCGTCTGGTCAACTGGCGCCACCGAGGCAATGCCCCAAGCTCAGGCCGTCTCTACATCAGTGCGTCAATCATGCTCAGGCAGTGAAGACCAGATCCCATCAGACTTATGACCTTCCCGGCCAAGGGGTTGCCCTCACAGAAAAGTTCATTGTCAGGGAGCGGGTAGTCTGGATTTATTCGAATCATGGTGGCATCAGCGCCACCATCAAGCAGGATCTCCAGGATTTGCTCAGATGTTTCGCGGACGGTCGGCACTCTGCCGCCGGCACCGATTTCCAAAAGAACACATCGAAGGCCTTTTGCCTCCGCAGCTTCCTCTCCAAGTGCTTGCAAGTATGCGGTCCAGCGTTTGGCCTGATCCTGCGAATCGAGCCAGTCTCGGTCACCCCACTCACCGAACATTAGAATTGCCGGTCTCGCTGGACCCCTGCACCGAATGCATCGTGGGTGATTGCCGACAAAGCCTCGCTCTACCAGGTGCGCGGGCGTTAGCGACTCTGGCATGTGGCGCAGTGTTGTAGTGCGGGACGCTCCATGGACCGAGCCTACATGCGGCACAGCTGTTGGAAGTCCAGCGGTTCCAGAAGCTTCACCTCGTACCGGCGGCTCATCCGCAAATGCCAGCATGCGCGCCCTGTCTACATTGAACCCGAAGTCCAGAGGGGCTCTCCAAATGCCTGGCCCACACCGCGCCCGACCAAAGGAGCATTGGTATAATTCGGTGTTACCATGACACTCCCTTATTTCATTCGGCAGAAACCAGTCATAGTGGTGGGCATCAATGTTGGAAGTGAAGACGTAAAACGCACCAGCGTAGCCAGAGATCAGATATGGCTCAGTCGACACATCGTCGAAGGACACGTAGCCGCCTTCTGGCGCTCTCGAGGAAGCCAGCCTCGACCTGCAAGGAGCAGACGACTCCAAGAATCACATGGTTCTTGATCTACACTCCTTCATCCCGGAATACGCGGCTTCCTCGCGGAAGCAAACTAACTTTCGCAACACCATCGCGGACCTTTCGCGGAGGCATGTTTACATACCTTTGCAAGTCAGAAACCCCGAATTGTAAGCCTCAAATGTGCAAGCTTCTCACAAGATTTCGATGGCAAGCTTTGACGGGCATCGCAATTGAGAGACTCATGGAGGCTTCCTGGGGGTTTAAGGGCTGCGTGACAGCTGCAATAGTTGGAAACGGCTGATTAAGGCCGTCTTAAGGGTTCAGATTCTTGAGCTTTGCACAATGAACCCTGGCCTAGATTGGCCTAGATCTGGCTAGGTCGACTTTAACGACACTTACTCGGAACTTACGTGCGAGACCCTGTACAGGAGTTCCAGCGGCAGGAGTTGTAGGAGCAGTGGCAGGGGCAGGGGCAGGGCAGGAGCAGGAGGAGTAGTAGCAGTAATAATAGTAGTAGTCGTTGTCGCAGTGGTAGTAGTAGTAGTAGTAGTAGTAGTAGTAGTAGTAGTAGTAGTAGTAGTAGTAGTAGTAGTAGTAGTGGTAGTGGTGGTGGTAGTAGTAGTAGTAGTAGCTGTAGCTGTAGCTGTAGCTGTAGCTGCAGCTGCAGCTGCAGCTGCAGCAGTAGCAGTAGCAGTAGTAGTTGTTGTTGTAGTAGTATCGGCATGTCATGTTCCGATAAGCCGAAACCGTACGGTGACGTAGTAATTGAACAAAGGAACTCCCTTATGCCCTTGCCGGAGCCCCTACAAGCACCAAACAAACCACCAAAGTGGCCTGATGCGTGCGGCAACTTCCGAGTGTCGAAAATGCTTCTCAACCCAGTTGCTGATGATCTCATAGCCCTTGTTGGGAGCAGTCTTCCTGTCCAGGGGCGGGAGAGGCGTGTGCTGCAATCAACGACATGGACTCGCATCTCCATTTTCTTCAGGTTAGGGTCATGTGAACCACGAAACGGTCGGTTGGATAAGGCCTCAGCCAAAACTAGAGATGCCTAGAGCAAGGCAAGGATTATCAGCCTATCTCTGCCGATTGGCTTGTGGCTTCAGTCGGGGCATTGCGGTCTCGTGTTGCTCTGCATCTTGTTAGAATTGAGTCTGTAGGGTTTGTAATCTGCCTGTAATCGTTGAAGCACTGGCCCCAAAAACCCCAGAAGAGTGGAGGCTCTTGGTGGACCAGCTTCGGATCACAAAGATCCATGTAGTCCAACTCCCGCTCTGCATATGCCTGCACCTGTGCAGGAACCAATCAACAGGTAATCACATGCGCTCTGCAAAAATCAACGCCGCCTTTGCAACGTCATCGTAAACTGCCAGGCCGCTGTCAGCAGAAAATCCAGCTCCTGCAGTATCTGCACTCTGCAAATCCGGTGATACAAGTAATTCTTGCGGTGCGTTGCAGAGGTGTCCTGTGAACAGTAGAAGTACGTCGGCACACTGCAGTAGGTTTGCTGCCTGGGCACACACCTGGCAGTTTCGTCGCCCAGCAAAGCTTTGCCCCCGCCGTGACTCCGGGCCTCCGACAACCTCCCATGCAGTTGGGATCGCTGTTCAGCGTCTGGCCGCGAGGTCGAGAGCATCGCGGGCGTTCGAAAGCACCTGGGCGGATTCGTGAAGGACTGCAGTCAGCATGATGGCTTCGATGTGCACTGAGCTTCCTTACGTTCATGCAATCTGTCTGCAAGAACACATCGGAGACATGGGAAACACTCTACTCGGGCTTCTTCGGGGCGGTTGATGCAATGGCAATACTTGTATTTCCGTGATGGAAAGAGAAAGAGAGAGGCATTAATTACTGAAGTTTGGGCTGACGAAAATGGTTTAACGAAGCCAAACTTCGCAGATCTTCGCAGTAGCTCTTTGAATCATGCACAGTCGTGCCGTTTTGAGCTTTGCAAAATGGATTCGAAGCTTCTCGATTCCCGGCAGTTCGAAACATGAAACCGGCCTTTAAATGATGTCACGATGGCAGGGAAAGAATTGCCTTCAGGCCTTGGACGCCGAATATCGATCTGGACTGGCACTACAACTGCCGAAAAGAGGCAAACTTCGAAAGCATAGTCCTGCAGCCCCAACAGATGTGTCATTCGTGCAGCCTGCCTCTTTGCATATGGACTGTTACGACTGAACACTTCGGGCCGGAAGCGTCTTGATCGGTAAATTTTAGGGCCAAACTGCACACTTGAATCTGAGGCACTTCGCTTCGAGAAGTCTGCTTGGGCCGCGCGGGAAGCACGATGGCACGATTTGGATTCAACCCATGTGGGCCACACAAGATCTCAAATGGCTGCACACAGTCTGCTCCTTGCTTCAGCTAACTCTGAAGCACAGACTAGACTGTAAACTGACTTGCATTGTCCATGCCAGCCTCCTGCTTTGCAGCCGCTTCAGCAGCAGCAGCCATGAGCCGCGGCGGGGAATGCATGGCCTTCCTCGTTATAATATCACGCTCTGCAGTCCTGCACGAAGGCACAACCAGAGATGCCAGCCAAGGCCGTGTCTCTTCCGGCTTCTTTGGAGGAGGCGCTGCAGCAAAGATGGGACCGAGCCCTTGCTGCCTCTGCTTTCAAAACACATATCGAAAGAAATCTGGAGTCTTGCAAAGAATTCATTCGATTTGAAGCGACGCAACTGCAACGATGCTGCACTTTCAGCTCCCGCTCCAACTGATGTAGCAGCAGCTGCTGAGGCCTGGGCAATTAAGGGGATGCAAAGGATAGAAGAGTTCTGTTTGGCTACTTTCGTGATGCCTCCCGATTGGTTTACCGAGTTAAAGTCACAACGAGCTCGATAATCTTCAAATTCACGCGACCTTTTGTTGAACACAATGCCATGTGTTCGTTGGCCTGTCCCGCGATGGTGCAGGCGATCAAGCTTGACAGCACGGTGCAGGCACAGGGGAGTTGATCGGTCTTGAACAAAGACGCACTTTACGTTTCCCAACGCAAGTGGTCTCTTTCCACTGATCCCAGGCGTGCAATTACCGACGCGGGTCGAGTGATTCTCAATCTTCCTCCGCCGATGCCAAGATGTTTATGTGCATCAAGCTCTCCCCTCTCAAGATCTTGTTGCGATTTCAGCATGCCTGCTAGTGTTTGAAGCCTTTCAACCAATTCAATCCTTAACACTTTCGATGGTTTCCAAACAAAATGATAAACAATCTCGGCGGAAAGAAGCGAGGACCGACTCTAGCCCTTCATCTATCTATCTATCTCTCTCTCTCTCTCTCTTCGCTTCGCTTCGCTTCTCAGGGGTAGGGTTCGCACGCGAACCCGGGCCTAGGCCCCCCCTTCCACGTTTAGGCGGCTTTGGGGTTTTCAGCGGTAGGGAGATTTTGCTCCAGCGGAAGGTGCGACCGGTGAAGTACGGCTGGCGAGGAACCAACCCTCCCTTTACTTTATCGCGCGTCCCGGCCTCGTCTCCGCGCTCTCTTAAGCTCAGTCCTTAATCCCTCGCCAGCCAAGTACTCCCCCCACGCAGAACCACCGCGGCCGGTAGACACTCCCCCTCTACAGCAACACGGCTAAGCACAGGACGTTCAGGGAGTGTGGGGTAACCAGTGCGCAGACAGCGTAGCACAAGTACAGGTTCGTTCCCCCTTCGGCCATATTAGTTAACTACTTCGGGTCTCCCGCATGGTTAGTCTCTCTCTCTCTCTCTCTCCCTCTCTCTCTTTCTTTCGTCAGGGCCATGGTGGAGGGTTGTCGCCCTCCACCGCGCGCTTGTGCGCCCCCCTCTCCTGCAGATAAGTAAGCATCCCGATTCCTGCGGTAAAAACCCACGCGGCGACCATTACCAAAGCCAAGTGGCTGATGCGGTAGCTGAGGCTTTGCAGCTACATGATGTTTGGGAACTGCCACCTGCATCTGCACGATTTCTTTCTGGGACGGTCTGGCTACACCAAGCGGACAACCCTGATTCAGTGCAAGCCCATAAACGCTGAGTATAGCTCGCACGGTCCTGCTATTTGAAGGTGTGATGCTGGCTTGCGACCGTGTCATCTTGCAATTTCCCTCAGGATCCCAAAGCACTTCTGACTCCCAAGATCTGGTCCCACGGGCCCTGCGCTTGAGTATTGCCGAAGGACTACGGAAACGATTCTTGCACCGTGTGATCCTGGGAACAAATGCCGGCCAGCTACGAACAACCGAAAGTGCCCAATAATCTGAAGGGTCGCAATCGAAACAGCACCAGCCGTGATGCCCATAGCTCATACAGTGCCGGCCGTCTTGTGTTTCAATACGATCGCAAACCCTCAATGCAACACACCCTCGCTGGAAACGAAAACGACGCTCTCTAAACGAGCCAAGGCATGAACCCAAGATCGACCCTGCCCTCGAAGCCCTGGCCTGTGGCTCTGGGCGTTGCGGTTTCTCTGTGTCATCTCGGTGGGGGCTGCATGCAGCCACTGGCATTGGCACCCTCGCTGCTTCTCTAGCAGGCGCAGGCCTTCCATCAGCTGGACTTGGGCTTGGTCTAGGGCCTGGGACACAAAGTGTGGGCTTCTCGGAGTGACTCGTGATGTTGCTGCTCTTTCAAGCTTCCGGTTGAAAGCAGCAGGCAACTACACGAGATCATCACCCTGCGAAGCTGGCGCGCTGGCATCTTGATCCCATGTCCGAATTGCAAGCATCATAAATATGGCACAATTTGTAATTTGTTGGAAGATGTTTTCGGCTTAGCTGCTTGAGTGTTCGGTCAGACGAACTGCGAATTCCATCTTACCAGTAGGTACCTGGCAATTCCTCCAGAAAACTCTGAAAGCCCTCAGTCGAAAGGAAGTTCGTTTGCCTCTTGCTCCCTTGGTCGTTCGCTCTTTCATTCGTTTGCGCCTTTGCTCCTTCATTGGTTGCCAATACAGGCGTGACTTGCGCTGTGCACTAACCCTACAACGCACCAATATTCTCGCTTCGCAACTGAGCCTGGACGGCACGGCTGCTTTGCCGGAAGGCCCGGGCTTGGAATTGGGCTTAAACATGTCGAGATGCTGAGCCCAGCACCCCTCGCAGTGACACCCGTAAGTCTCAGAATTGCATACGTGCCGAATAGCCTGGATTGCAGCGACGAAGCGCAGACAGGCGAGTTGAAAGCGTCCTTCTGCGGCGGGATGTGCCTGCAATGTGCTGCAAGAAACTGAATGCTAGTCGTCGTACTTGAAAGCTGCTTGAAACGGTAGTCGGATTTGGAAGCAGGCAGGGTGCCTTTGCAGCCCCTGCATCGAGTCTTCGTGGCGCCTGCAACCACCGTGCTGCAAAAAATCTAACTGTTCGCAGCGGCTGATAAGCGAGCCTCGCACTTGAAAACTGCTTTGACTGCTGGTAAAAGCTGTGAACGGCAGTCCGGAGATCAATGGGGAAGCAGGCAGGGGTTTTTACAGCTGTGCATGATCGTGCCCTCCGAAACCCTACTACGCCCTTCCCGAAACTGCTCTAGGTGTCACCTACTGTAGTAGGACTGCTGTACTGTTCTTGTTTTACTGTCGTACGTACTATGGCTGTACTACTTCTACTACTTCTATACTGTTACTGTAATCCATGCTGCATGAGATCTTGCTTGAATGTGACTCTGCCGAGCAAGCACCACTGGAACGAAACAGACATGACCGACACCGTAGGAAAGCACCAGGCACCTAGCAATATTGCCCCGGCAAACCGGTGGTAACTCGAAAGAACCCCGATTGTGGGAGAGCCTGGCCGGCTGCGCTTTGCACGAAGGCCTTTGCTGGCAGGGATGGGCGTCTTTGCCTTCAACTGCTCCGACCTTCTGTACTGTTGCATGCGCAGGCCCTAGGCACCCAGTTCTGTAGACACTCAAAGACCTTCCACCTGCCGGACAGGCTGGGCCTTGAGGGCGGGGAACAGTAAACAGTAAACCCCAAGCTCCTGTACCGCTGAATCCAGACAACGCACATCAATGCACTAAGCATAGCCGGTAGAAAATGCCTGAAACCACTGCGAAACTACTGATAAAAACTTCAGGACGAGTAAATCTGAGATACATATGGGAGCGAACGCATACGGGCACCCACGCGACTCAGCTCTACACTACCAGTCAATCCGGAAACTCGTACTGGGAAAGAAGTCAACGACCTGAGCATTTGCCTTACAATACTGATCCGTAGCCATCCGTAGACGAGCAAAGTGCAAAGGCAGCAAAGTTGACGCTTCAGGTCTCCATCAGCATCACATGCATGGCTAGTTGCCTGGAATGCAACGGCGAAGTGCAGACGGGTGAATTGAAGGCGTCCTTGTGCGGCGGAATATGCCTGCAACCACCGTGCTGCAAAAAATCTAACTGTTCGCAGCGGCTGATAAGCGAGCCTCGCACTTGAAAACTGCTTTGACTGCTGGTAAAAGCTGTGAACGGCAGTCCGGAGATCAATGGGGAAGCAGGCAGGGGTCTTTACAGCTGCGCATGATCGTGCCCTCCGAAACCCTACTACGCCCTTCCCGAAACTGCTCTAGGTCACCTACTGTAGTAGGACTGCTGTACTGTTCTTGTTTTACTGTCGTACGTACTATGGCTGTACTACTTCTACTACTTCTATACTGTTACTGTAATCCATGCTGCATGAGATCTTGCTTGAATGTGACTCTGCCGAGCAAGCACCACTGGAACGAAACAGACATGACCGACACCGTAGGAAAGCACCAGGCACCTAGCAATAGGGCCCCGGCAAACCGGGGGTAACTCGAAAGAACCCCGATTGTGGGAGAGCCTGGCCGGCTGCGCTTTGCACGAAGGCCTTTGCTGGCAGGGATGGGCGTCTTTGCCTTCAACTGCTCCGACCTTCTGTACTGTTGCATGCGCAGGCCCTAGGCACCCAGTTCTGTAGACACTCAAAGACCTTCCACCTACCGGATAGGCTGGGCCTTGAGGGCGGGGAACAGTAAACAGTAAACCTCAAGCTCCTGTACCGCTGAATCCAGACAACGCACTTCAATGCGCTAAGCATAGCCGGTAGAAAATGCCTGAAACCAAGCCCAAACAGTACACTGCGAAACTAGTAGGATCGAACCCGCTGCCAAACTGATAAGCAACTTCAGGACGAGTAAATCTGAGATACATATGGGAGCGAACGCATACGGGCACCCACGCGACTCAGCTCTACACTACCAGTCAATCCGGAAACTCGTACTGGGAAAGAAGTCAACGACCTGAGCATTAACCTTACAATACTGATCCGTTGCCATCTGTAGACGAGCAAAGTGCAAAGGCAGCAAAGTTGACTCTTCAGGTCTCCATCAGCATCACATGCATGGCTAGTTGCCTGGAATGCAACGGCGAAGTGCAGACGGGTGAATTGAAAGCGTCCTTCTGCGGCGGAATATGCCTGCAACCACCGTGCTGAATGCATAACAACGGCCAGCTTGGCTAGCCACGCGAGCCTCGCACTTGAAAGCTGGACTTTGGCAAGCTTTGCTGTGCTTCCCTGGCGAGACCAAACGACCAGCAGTGGAGTTGTCAGTCAGATATTCAGGTGCGAGGCCAGGTGCACCGAAGAAAGAGCAATCGGCAGTGCCATGCTTCCAGGGAGGTCACGCAAGCCGCTTCAAATTATGATCACGAGGCACGAACTTGGCAAGACGGATCGCGACTCTGGCACTGTTTGGCCGATGGCCACCCAACGGGGATGCATGTCACATGTTCCAGGTACTTGTTCCTAAGACTGGCTTGAGCTGTGGCAGCGGCACAAAGACCATCAGCCATGTGCGAAATTCCGTGCGACATGAGCTTTGCCCGATGGGATCCGGGCACTTGAAGCTCGAGTTCAGCCCTTCTTGGACCTACCGCGCTTCCTGCCGGCAGCGAGCAGCCATCGTGTGTGTGTGTGTGTGTGTGTGTGTGTGTGTGTGTGTGTGTGTGTGTGTGTGTGTGTGTGTGTGTGTGTGTGTGTGTGTGTGTGTGTGTGTGTGTGTGTGTGTGTGTGTGTGTGTGTGTGTGTGTGTGTGTGTGTGTGTGTGTGTGTGTGTGTGTGTGTGTGTGTGTGTGTGTGTGTGTGTGTGTGTGTGGTGGTGTGTGTGTGTGTGTGTGTGTGTGTGTGTGTGTGTGTGTGTGTGTGTGTGTGTGTGTGTGTGTGTGTGTGTGTGTGTGTGTGTGTGTGTGTGTGTGTGTGTGTGTGTGTGTGTGTGTGTGTGTGCATGTGTATATATATATATATATATGTATTATGTCCATGGTGGAAGACAGTGATTGCATCGGTTCGGAGGAACCGTCTACCCAAGCATGAACGGCATGATTGGCTCTGTTCGCTCTGTGCCTCTTCTTCCTCTGGATCGCATACCTGGCATCGCTTGCCTTTGCTTTCCCATCCTGGCATTGCGACGACTTGACTAGGTCATTACCGATCTTGCTTCGGTCCTCGTTCTCGACCGCACTTTCCTGTGTAAGCACAAATGCCGTAGGTGCCACTTCTGCAAATAAAGGGCTCCTCTGGCTGGCTCTCCACGTCGTCCACTTCATCGTCGCCCTCACTAGCCACGGCCTCCCACAAGCAGAGACTATCCAAGGGCTCCATTGGCTGAGCTGTCGGACGACAAAGTATGTGATGCGTGAAGCTGAAAGCCTGGATCCTCTTCACCCTTGACCTTGTCACTTTTCGTCGGCAATGTGCCCAAAAAGTATGCCGAGAAACTCTACGTCCAGGCCCTGGATTTCTCGACAGCTAGGGTCGTGTCTCGAACTGCGTGGCTGAGATCTTGCCCTTTCGCAGCTTCTTGGCCAGGCATTCCTGTATGCACACGGAATGTCGACATTTGTGGGCTTTGTCACAGGTTAGCTCCTCGGCTGCGAGCGCCCTCCACTGCTCTGCTTTCTCGTTGCGCTTGGCTTGCCGCTTCTGTGTCCTCACTGTATCTGTTGCGCAGCGAGCAACACAGATGAAGCAAGAAACGAAATAAAGCTCTGACAGGCTTTGCGACTCCAGGATTGGCCTGGTTCTTTCTTTTTCAGCCTTGGCTGCATCCTTGGTGCAGCACCACCGTGTGGGTCGTGTCACTTATTATTGCTTGTGACTGAGAGCCGCATAGTCTTGCTTGCATTCAATGGTGCTTTTGGAGACGGTCACTGTCAATCGTTGCTCTGAGCTGCCAGCCTTCATGGCTTGTCTGGCCTTGGCAAGCTGCGCCTTTTTCATCTCCTCCTGCAAAGCAGGGAACGCATCCGCGAAGACTAGGGGGAACACCAAGGGATACCCAACCGACGAGCTCCTTGTTCTGCTCCTGTTCTTCCCGCTGCCTTGCCAGTTTGTCCTGAAGCAGCATAGCACAAGCCCTCTGCTTTCCCCTTCGACATGCGAGGACAGCGGCCTTCCGCAACTTCTCCTGCTTCACATTTCGGAAAGGCACCTCTGTGGGATCGACCTGAATTCTGCGTGCATGCAATGCGGGGTGTCGGCGCAAAAAACATCGTGTCCCAAGGCGCCTGCGTCACTCTGCTGGAATCCCTTCACGTGCTTTCCCAAGATCTCTTTAATCCGGGGCAGTCTGAGTAGGCAGTAGCCAGTTGCCAGACTGCCTATGTCCAGGCTCTTGAAAGGAAACAGGTATGGAAGCTGATGCTCCTGGTATGCGCGGATGAAAGACAGGAAAGCCTTGGTAGACTTGAGCATAGCAGCTCTGTCTGTCTCCACGATGCGCTTGCATCTGAGCATCGTTTCAGCCCAACCCTCCTGGACGTTGGGAGGCTGTTGCAGCACCTGAGGCAACTCTTCGAATCTGACGCCACGCTTCTCCAGGAACGGTAAGTATCCATCCTCGTGTGGAAGCAACAGGACGACAGCTCTTCCGCTCTGTCCGGCACGAGCCGTTCTCCCGATACGATGAACAAAGGCCGCTGGATCTGTTGGTGGATCAACCTGTAGAATCCAGTTGACTGCATCAACATCGATACCCCTTGCTGCAACATCCGTGGCAAGCAAAACTGCTCCATCCTGTGCTGGGCTCTTGCAAAACTTCTCGTAAGCTCTTGCTCGAGCAGTTGGCTCCATCTGTCCATGGAGCTTTTCTATTCGAAACTTTGGGGGTGCTTGCTTCTTTCGCTTTGCTCCGCTCCTACCATCCACAAGGTCGCGCAGGAGAACATGAAAGTAGTCCACCGTCGCACATGTCAGAAAGAAAATAATAGTCTTGCCACCACGAACTTCTGGCGCACGCAAAAAATGCCGCAAAAAACCGAGCCTTTCTGGAGCAGGAATCTGCAAGAAATAGTTGCTCAGTTTCGTTGGCAGCTCGTGGCCGGAGGAAGGCGGCGGGCGACTTTCCTTTTCCGGAGAGGCCTTCTCCCTCTCCGAGTCTTCCACTTCTCCGTCGGCAATGGCTTCTGGACCTTTCTTGCACGCCTTGATCTGAGGCAGGCTTTCGTGTCCGGTACGCTTTAGTCGAACACACACATGCACAGGGTTGCGCATCCCTGTCTTCATTATGCGCTGCAGCTCAGTAGTGAGCGTTGCACTGAACAGACCAGTTCTTCGCTGTTTCGGCACAGCGGACAAAACAGCCTCTACATCCACGGAGAACCCCAACTGAAGCAATCTGTCTGCCTCATCAAACACCAGAAACTCCAAAGCTTTGAGGTTCAAGGGGCTGTTAGAAAGGGACAGAAGCGCTCGCAGCCTTCCCGGCGTAGCCGAAATCAAATGTAATTTTGGCTCGCCCTCCTCCAAAACGGCTGCTCTCCGCAAAGCAGCTGCAGCTGCTTTGGCATCAGACCCTCCAATGCACAGCTGTCTACCGAGTTGACTGCAAAGGCCATCGTCAGCCTTGGCGGCTGCCGTAAGGTACGATCCAAAAACCTCGTGGATCTGTGTTGCCAGCTCGCGGGTGGGCGCGATGATCAGAGCCCCGATAGCGAGTGTGTCGCCAGGTTTTCGGCTGACTCCATCGCCCTCGACGGTGCGACATAGAAGTTCATATGTTGGAATAAGATACGCGAGGGTCTTCCCAGAACCAGTGCAGGCCTGCCCAGATCCAAACTCAAATGTTTGGATGTTAATTATGCAGGGTTCTGTTGAACTGAAGCTATCTACACACCTCCACACATGGTTTTGCCAGGCACTTGCGACTTTCACCTCCACAGCCACATCCCTCTGCTTAAGCACCAGGGGGATCGCTATTGCTTGCACAGGCGTCATGCGCTTGAACCCCATCTCCTCGATGAAGTGATGGGTCCCCTGCCAAAAACAAAAGACACTGATAAAGACTTGATGTCCTTTCGGACTCTCTTTTTTGGCGATTTCCAGCCTTGGAGACTGGGAGCTTTGACCAGTCCCTTGAGGTCGACATGGAGGCTCAAGTGGCTCAAGCCTCTCTACAGGGCTTTGCCAGGCTCTGCCATGCTCTGCCTGCCTTTGAACCACATTGCACATCCCGGTTCTGCTGACGAAGCATAATGCAAACAAAAGCTTACAAAATGGTCCTCCACTGGCTCCCCAGCTCTCCAACTGCCAAACGGCAGGAGATGCCCAGGGGGCCCCTGGTGTCCCAAACTCAGAGGAAAACAGGTGCAGGGTCAAAGAAGCGATGCCAACAAAAGTCTGGAGCTCAACTACCCCAGGCTGCAGTCGCGAACCTGCCTCTGAGGTCGCGGTCCATGTCTGGGCAACAGTGGCTCAAGGAGACCAGGCAGCATAAGGCTTCCTTCTGTGTTTGTGATTTGCGACTGGTCCGATGGCACCTGCCCGATCAAACACAGCCCAAGAGCCCGCGCCATTGCTAGGGCAAATCGAGATCACCCGACATGTTGATCGGGTTGGGCGGTCTACCTCGATCGGGCTTATTGCCAACTTCTTGTAGATGCATCGATGCTCACTTCCTCTTTTACAACGTGGGAATTTCGAAACCATGCATCGATCATGTTGCCGTCAAGTTCTGTCAAATCTAGTCTAGAGTCTATAGAGTATGCCACAGTAATATGCCAGCATCTGGAATCATCTCAGAACGCTGAGCCGTCTTCAGAAGTTCGGCGACATGAATTACTTCGTGGGTGGGGACAGGAAGCTTGAGCATCAACGCTTTAGCTACACAACGCACGCTAGCAGTGCACGACAGCCACGAAACTCCACGTGGGGACGGATTTGGACCATAGCAACTCGGCGCACCATGCGTCACACCTTCCCAGCTGTACAACAGTTTTCACCCTGTGCCAGGTGCGGCACAAGCCCGGATGCTCTGATGTTAGTATACGACATATTGTTGGGAGTCTTGCATGCCTGGATGCCTGGTTCCCGCCATCCCAGGCACGGGAAGTGTTCGCTTATGGCTTTGCACATCATGCGCTAAACCCAAACACAAAGCATTTGGCTGCTCACTCTATTCTGCAATTTCTCCATGATACAGTATCGTTACGCTCCGAGTGCTGCACCCCGTCGATCTCGGACTCCTCATAGCACACTTGTGTAACTGATTCTTACGACCTAGCTAATTGCTAATGTAGGAACCTGATTAAGAAACCCTGGGACTATAACCCCACTATAGTAGGATTCAAATAAGGAACCCCAATAAAGGCCCGATGTTTCTTAATCAGGTTCCTACATCAGCTGCCCTTTTCCTGCTTTTTGCACCCGCCCACCCGCTAGCTCGTCGGCAAGCACGCATCCGCACATTCATCTGTGTGTCGTCGGCAAGAGTCGTGGTACTCGAAGTGGTCGATGATCTTTGCCAGGCTCCTGTTGCACCTGCTTCGGTGCTGGGGCTTCACAAGGCTTCAAAGCTCCTGGACTACAAGCGATTGGTGCGTGGTCTGAGTCCCTGGCCCTATGTCCGATGTCTTTTGCCTGCCGGCATATCACCAGAAGATTCAGCATGTGTAAGCCAACGGCGCGGCTTTGCGAAGAGAACGGCCATAAGGGTGAGCAGCCAAGTGGCGGCGGAAGGCAATGGAAAAAAGACGGTACAGGACAGCGCTGCATGCTTCACACTCGGAAGCAAACAGCTAGATGCACTTTATGGGCCAAGCAGTTTGGCGGCCTATCCACAGCAGTGGGTAACTTTCGAGAAGTTGTGAATGCATGTGAAACTCGGGCAAACAAGCTACATCAGACTTTGAATATGACTGTTGAAGTGGTTGATACACCCGAAAGATTCCAAAAGTGCGTGAAGAATCTTACCTACAACCGCAAGCACATAATAACTCAAAATCTTGTAGGAGTTCCGAAGCTAAAAGAAACAGTAAAGCTGATTAAACACATGTATGTTGGAATGTCAATTCTTGACTGCCTAAATTACATAATATGTAGTGGGTGCATTGTGATGTTCTCAGGTAACAAGTACAAAGAAAGCATTAATCTGATCTACGCTGACACAGACAACTTCGGTATACTCACCATAAACTGAATATATGTGTGATAAGAAGCATAAGGATATCAGCGGTTATTGCAGGAATCACAAGAGTTACGATGCCACGAACAAAAAGGCTCTAGGTAAATCTAATGATGAATGCGACGGTAAAATAATAACACACTTTATAGGCTTACAACCTACATCATATGCCCTCAAGGTTTCTGACGAAGACAAGGAAGAAACGAATAGCGAATGCATAGTAAAGCATAAAGTTAAGAAAAAGCTAACCTGTAAGAAATACGAACAGGCTTTAGAAACAACAGTCAACACTGTAACAAAGTTAGCTTTAACAGCATAAAAGCAAGAGTCACCAAGTCTACACAATACATCAAAAAACAAACATTAAGCAACTATGACAATGAACGAAGTGATTCAGATGGTGTAAAAGCTCTTCCATTCAGGCATTTTTCAATCAATAATACACAAAGACTTAAAGACAGATGACCTTATGTCATTGGGAGCCTAGCAACGGAAGCTAAAGTGTTCAAAAGTTTGAGACATTCGTTGAGAAACATCCATTTCCTTCTTGGAAAAAGCCAAAAGACGGAAGCACAAAGGCGACATTGACTATGCAAGTCATTATCTATCAATGCATGCTGAATATGGAAATTACAACCATGAGATGGTAAAAGAAGATTAGGAAGGCTATGAGCTTGTTGTTCATCATGTTCATTTGTTTAAACAAGACACCAAAAAGTTTGAAGCATACAAGGGCGGCCAAACGAAGCCTCACCAATAAACACAGAGAAGGATTCATGCAGTTCTAGGGTTAAGGAGCAGTTTAAGGAAACTGAAAAAGGCCCGGGAGCTAAATATGCAAAACATGAAGTCGTCCAGTATTCAAAGCATGTTGAAGTGAGAACGACGCAGAAAACAGTTAGAACGGAAGAACACAAAGCTTCGTGTGGCACATGCAAACAACCACCGTCACCTACACAACTGTCAGCAACTGAACTTTTGCACCAACAATCCAAAAAATAGGAAAGCTAAGCAACAGGAAAGACTGTACACAAAAAATGTGCAAATATTCAGAAACAAAACAACATAGACACTCATCAATAGTAATCAACTAACATGATGACAGATATTGGTGGCACGTGTCAAACTTTAAGCCAAGGAAGGGCTTAACACCGTTGTGATATGACACGGGAACAGAATATGAAATGCATAAAGCGATGATGGAACATGGAAAAAGGAAAGCTGTCATATGGAGCTTTTCAAGGAGCACCCTTGCAAAAACTACAGCCAACTAATACAACGAGACGGCGACATGATTGGAGAGAGCCAGTCAGTGTTAAACCAAACAGTGAGTGGGCGAACCAAGAAAGAATACCAGACAGATACAAGTCAAGAACAGGTGAATACTCTAGACAGTTTTACGCCATGATAAGGACAAGTGTAAACCAGACTACGAAGAGAGACGAGATAGCAAAGGTAGAATACGCCAAATGTATGGAATAAACATAAACAACAAATAAGTGACAAAGCGTACAGAGTACGGTATTATCAAAACTTTGAAGAAAAGCTACAAGAACAACGACAAAAACGGCATGAGGACAATGTACAGAAAACCAGGAGAGAGCGAGAAGATACAGAGAAAACGACAGAGAGAAAGTTCTGAGAAGCTAGGAGGCGGTGCTATGCAAAAGAGACACAACAAACGGACGATTGACGCCCCAAGTCAGTAGTTATCATGACCTAACTAGTTCAAGCATCTTGACGATATGGCCTGATGGGTACGTATAGAAAATACAAAGGTTTCCCCCATATGGTAACTTACAGGTATGTCAGATATCCGCATGAAAATGGCACACCAAAAAGCACCATGCGCGCAAGCCCTCTTTTGCATGGTGGATTGGTGTGGCTGCCGACTCCCGGAATGTTCCTTCGGTCGGGGACCTCCGCCTAGAGAAAGGCCGTTTCAAAGTACAGGAGGGTCCCCTCCTTCAGGGCCTAAGGCACCTGGAGATCGGGAACCCTCCTTGTACAGAAGTGAGAGTTTCAAAATTTTGTGCCGTCCAGAAAGAAGCCTGTACAGGAGGCAGCCACATCCTCACCGGGCGCCCTGCGCGGGCCCATGGGTGAGGTCAGATGGGTCGTCGAAAATACGATCTTCCAAGATAGAGCGAATGAGGGAAAAATGCTTGAGCACGGGTTCCACCGGCAAGCAGAGAGATGGAGTGAAACCTTGAAAGTTGGGATGAGTCAGATCATCAGCCCACGTGTTGAAGTCGCGCTTGACGTGGGAGGGAGCAAGCTGCATGCCATGCCGGTGCAGCTGGTACAAGATCTCCATGAGGATGACAGATGTTGGCATCCTCTTGGACTTATCGTTCAGGAGCGAGTACACGTTCCCTTGCTTGTCGCTGACCAGGGGGAGCCTGAGGTTCGGGATGAACGCAGGCGCCTTCTCCATGAGAAAGTGAGAGAGGATCAGAGTGCCGAACATCTCGAGGGCAGCAATGCGCTTTTTCGGGCAGCCCTTCTCAAAGGCCCATGGATGCCGCTCCGCGGTGACCTGGTAGTGGAACCAGAAGACTTCCGACTTGGACGGGGAGTCCACGTTGGAAAGCCAGCCGCCTACATAGGCGCTGCCATCATCCGAAGCGCTAGCATCACTTGCCCCTGACCAAATGGCAAGCGGGGCATACGGCGATGCCTGTCGGAACTTCCGGTCAAAAAGAGAGAGGAGAAGAGCCGAGAGTGCACGGATCAGCTTGCCAGGACGTCCTGCAGTCTGGCAGGCCTTCTTCCAAGCCCAAAAGGGTTGGAGGAAAGGCTTAGTGAGAGGGCAGGCCGTTGTCGCCCACTGCAGCCTACCCAAAGCACTAGCGATCTGAGAGGCCGACATGACCTTACCGCGTTTGAGCTCTTCAAGAATGCCAATGACAAGCAGGTGCTTGTCTCGGGCCATCTGCACACAGGGCCCTTTTGGGTCAATGACA